GGGACAGGTTATTCCCCCTCCCCAATATTATAAGATCACTGAAAATCAACTTGGAGTTGCCCACCTGATTTTTTTTTTTTTTTTTTTTTTTTTTTATCAGCATTCAAATATTTTGGCATGCACTTGGCTGTCAATTTTGACATTCCCAGCTGCCTCCGAAATGTAAACCTAATATCTTCCCTGGATATCTTAGTAACGAAGCAATTCTTTTCACCTTTTATTGACTAAAATTGCCAAAATTAGACTATGAACATTACCAACAATTTCAGGAGTAGACACCATTCAAGACCTCTCAAATCAAGCTGCATCTTGTGTTCCAGTTTCCACCTGGAAGTTGCCACCGCACTCCTTCACAGTTGAGTATGACAGACATTTTCACCCAATATTTGTGTCATACATTCAATGATTTCCTTCAGAGTTTTCTTTTTCAGGAAAAGGAATTTTATGACATCCCAAAGCTAAGCACTTGAAAATTGCATACTTTCCATTAACATGGTTCAATAATCTGAAACAAATTCAAAAATAATCACAAGGATCCTGCAAGCTGGCAGTTTACAGAGCAAAATAAGAATCTTTCCTGTTAATGAGATGACAAAACACTCAGATTTTGGGAAATAGGTTGAGCCAATAACTTTTCATCAACTCTTGTAAAACACTATTTACCCCAATGGTTAGTCTACCAATAAGTTTATAATACATTAGATTTAAAGGAACTTAACTAAACATTTGTACTTAATGTGGTTTAAAAAATAGTTGAATTCAAATTTAATCGATTAAATATTAAACCAATAGGTATTTATATATTTTATCAAGAATGTAGCATAGGATAGTCTAAGTGTAAATGCCTTATTCTCGGTATTCATTTATTAAAGTTTGTTGTGTTACCTCTTTAATTTTTGAAGATAAAAATAGTAAAAATAAGTAATATACAAGGGAGTGCTAAAAAGTTCTTAGCACAGCCAAGAAACTTTTCAAAAAAATATTTGGTATTTGGTCAGATTTTGGAAGTGGGTCAAGCCAAGAACTTTTCAGTAGTACCTTATATTTGCCAGAATTGAGGAGAAAAACTGTTAATTGCTAATGTATCACAAATTAATTCTGTATATCAAGTGCCTGTATATCAAGATTTTTTTCTCAATTAAACCTTGCAATTCACATTTGCTTATGCTCAACTGCTATTATATATGCTCATACCATCTGGAGTTTATACTTTTCCAAATTAACAAAAACTTTCATTATTTTCATTTGTATGATTCAGTTCAGAATATTTCACTTTTTTAATTTGTAAATACTTAAAATGATTTCTGAAAATTTGTTAGTTACAAAAGAGGCTGAAGTCTTTATTCAATAACCGAGGACTTGAAATAAAAGAAAAATCTCTCACTCTCTCTCTCCATCTCCATTTTATTTGTTCTACATGGATAGTCCTGAAAGTAAAAGCATTCCTAGTAGCAACTGACTTCTGTCAGTTAGCTCTTGTTAAAACCCTAGAGACTGGTGGCTTGGCTAGTTGATAACAATTGCCAAGCAATAGCTTCTTTGGTTTTAACTCTCTTCTTCAACTGCCCAAGTAATTTGTTCATCTGCAACAAGTCATTCACCAGCTTTTGAGATTTCTATTCCAATAATCTGACGGGAAGGTAAGTATTGCAGCAGTCTCTGTCCTGTAGCAAGTTTCACTGGAAAATCATCTAGGTTGTTCTCTTTATTTCTATCTTTCTACTCTAGCTTGTTTCCATACCTTTTTAACTATGTCACTTTATTTTTTAAACTGACACTTTTTAATTTCTGCCATTTTGCTGTGATGCACATGTCTGCTCTTCTTTTTGTTCTATATGAACATTTCTAGGTGCTCTAACGATTTTTTAAAACTTCTATTATGTTGGGATTTGGAAAAGTATAAAACTCATTCAATACCCACTCACAGGTTTTACCTCCCTCCTTTCCTAAATAACCTTTGTTTTTATGGGGTTTTTTTTTCTTTCCAGTGTAATTGTTAACACAGAAATTACTGTTTTCAAATTAGTACAGGATCACATGCAGTTTATACCCTCGATTACAATTTTATTTACATTCCTAATTTTTACACTTTGGCTTGTTTCATAGAATACTTTAATAGAAAATATTTTACCATTTTGTACGCTTAAATAGGGAAAAATTTATTAATTTTTAAATTTTGACTTTATCAAACTTCTGTAGATTTTTTTCTACTCAAAGCATGCTAATATCTATTTATGTTGTGAGATTTACTGGTACAAAAGTTTACTATATTCAAATTCACTTGTGGTTTTGGTGAAAGTTATAGAGGAAGCTGCATATTGAGATAATATTCTATATATAAAAAAAATACTAGCCTAGTTTTCCCAATTCGCAAAAATTACCCAAGAAACAGGGTCCCAGACTAATTTTTTTCATCAGCATCCTGGAACCAACCCTAAAAACAACTTAAGTCATCCCCTAATAATTTTAAACCATCCCAAAATCAAATTTTTTTAATGCTTAAATTTATCATTTATAGTTGTTAGCAGAATAATAAAACACCATTAAAATTTTTAAGGAATAAATTTTAAAAAAATGTAAAATATCAAAGTTTAAAAATGAATAAATAGAGAAACAAACTAAATTTTACTATAATTGAAAAAAATTATTTAAAAATTTAAATTAAATCACTTTGAATAATTTTGCACAGAAATGTTCTTATTAATTTTCATGTTCAGAGTAACTTTTATCATACTTCAAGAATTGTGCCCTTTGCATACATCTTCTACATAAATAATACTAGCACATTCCAACTATTCACAGTAAAGAGTTTTTAGTCTTTATCAAAAAATTTTCATTTTCTGTTACCTGACGAGTCATGACTAAATTTTCTGTGTTTTAATTTTTAAATTCTCTTATGTATTTTCAATTTAGCTTAGAAGCAGAATGCCTAATGCACAAATGTTTGTTAATGGTTCATTCAAGTTTTTAACCAAAATTTGCTTTATTAATGCAAAATTAGTTATTACAAATAATATCTAAATTTATGTCCTCAAACTTTTTCATTCAAGTTTCATTCACAAGTTTTAAAAAAGTGCTTGTTTTATTTATTTGTGTCTGTGCGTGTTCCATTTATTAAAAGCCTGTCAGTGTTGGTGAGAAGTAAGAATTTTTTTTTTTTAAAGAAATTTGCTTTTAGAATAAATATAATAGAATTTTAATTAAAGATTATTTTTTTTTAAGCATCCACAAAAATCTAATCAGTTATCCCATTCTAATGTTCAATCATCCCCAGGATAAAATTAATCTCAAGTCCTGCCCAAGAACATAGACTTCAAACCAGAAAATACATTTTTCTCTTTCATATGTTCATCTAAAACAGGAATAGGCAAACAGTAATACGTGTACCAGGAATGGTACATTACATTCCACTGATTATTTTTCAATCAGTTTACAATTGACATTTGCATGTTATTAATTTATGCTTTATTCATTGTGAATATTTGTAGTTTTACATTATTTATGAAAAACAAGAAAACATTTTAATTCATTTTCTCACCAGAGAGAAAACAAGCAAGGAAAAAACTAAAAATGATAATAAACATGAATCTAATGAAGAAAACGATATTTATATTTATAAAAAACATTTATCACTTAGTAAACAAAAAATTATGATGCTTAGTATAACATATTAATGGAACCTATTGACTTTAGACCAAGTTCTTTATTAAAATGGACTCATGAACTTCCCCCAAGTCCCAAATACTTCTGACAGTAGTGATCATTAACCTATGAAAAATTTCCAGAACTAAATTTTGCTCGGTATTACATCTGTTGATTTAGAATTTGAACAAACTTTTTTGCTTATGAAATTAATTACAATCTAAACAAGATTGCAAAAGATCAAAATTCAAAGAATTTTCTGCTGTTCTCGATAATTAACCTCAAAAATTAAGTTTGGTGAGATTAAACCCTCAAGTTTAATTAAGGTAAGTAATGTTCATCTTGTTTTGCATTAAATCAATATTAAATTATATAAAAATGCTTGTATGTATATTTTACAAGAATTAATGTTTATAAGATTCATAAGATATATATAAACTTGTATAGAAAAATTGATACATAGAATACAAAAAGTTGGCGATTGAACTAAAACTACATAGAAAATTATACTAGCTACAGTTTCCCAATGCTACCAGGTCTTCCTGTATCTGTTTAAAACTTTAAATATTGAACTACTTCCTTACAGTTATATAAAGTGGACTATTAATTTGCCATCATAGCCAAAGAAATTATCAAATTTTCTTTAATCATAGATTTAATTGAAATTAATTTGTTCAAACTTCAAATAATTTGATTAAAATTAAGTATTAATTTTATTTAAGCAATAAATGTTTGGAATTGAATTATTTTTCCAAAATAAATTATATTCCTCTATAACTTGACAAAAACCCTTTTTCTTATATAGGCATGCATCAATTGAGAAAAATGTGAATTTAAAGTATAATTTGCTTTTAATCACTCTGTAATAGTATGTGAATTTTCTAATTTAAATATTTTTGTTTAAAATGCGTTAAAGCACATTGATTGTAAATTAAAATGTATTTGTTTTTTAAATACTTTGTAAAAGTATCAAATTGGAAAATAAAAATGAAAGATCAAAATATTCTACTTCTATTAAGCAGGCCATTCCTTCTTTGTTTTTTTTTTTTTTTTTTTTTTTTTTTTTTTTTTTTTTTTTTTTTTTTTTTTTTTAAGTGACTTTTGGGTAGTTCCAAAATGTTTGGTAAGGCTAATGTAAGGGCATCTCTATTTCCAGATGAGGCTTAATTTCTTTGACTAGTTAGAGAGAGAGGTGGCTGAGGAGGTCTGTGGGTTGTCAGTCTAGCTTTTTAAAAGTCCCGCAGATAGCAAAAGCTAGATACCCTTGTCACACAGGTATTGGGCATTGCCTACCACCTGTATAAAAAAAAAAAAAATAAAGATCTATACACATCAAGGGTGCTGTGCACATAGTCCAGATGAACTCCTCCAGGTCTCCATGCAGCAGAAGAGTCAACAACAACAACAATGATGATGATGATGATGAACAGATCAATGATGAACAGGACAGCCACATCCTGGTAGCACCACCACCACCACCACCATCAACGCAAGCGTCCAATCACAATAATAATAAAAGGTTGGACTTTGACACTGATGATGGTGGGAAAAGTGACGGTGAATATAGCTGTCCCCCAGAAAAACGTCTACGGATGTCAGCTCCTCTGTCATCCAATATGACTGCCCTGGGTGCTTGTACTGATCTTTACTTGGACTGCGATAGAGATTCTAGACTGCACAGTGGTGAACCAGGTGGACAGACTGCACATGAATTTGAAATTATTGATGACATTGAGCTAGATGATGATGATGATGGCCAATGCATTGAACTTGGGGCAACCAGCTGCATCTCAAATGGTCATGAATCCCTTGACCTTTCTAGTGAGGATGATGATGAGGAATATTTTGATGACAATGAACTGTATGCACTATTGGAAGAAGGTGTTGGTTCCCGCAAGTCTGGTTCAGATGGAGAGAGCAAGGAAGATGGATCTCAGGGGCCAATTGAAGTACAGAAAATTGTTTTAAAAGGTATGCTTTGCCTTTATTATGTTTTATTTTTTTTTTTTTTTTTTTTTTTTTTTTTTAATATTTTTGCTCTATGTATCTTGAAAAAGTAAGTAGATTGTGTGTGTGTTGTGTGTGTGTGTGTGTGTGTGTATATATATATATATATATATATATATATATATAAATATATATATATATACACACACACACGAGAGGAAGTGTGTGTATCCATGGAAAAATAAATTACTTTTAACTTCAAATATATGAAATCAAATTTTAATAAATAATTTCTTTTATAAATACCAATGAATCAGAAAATATCTAAGCCATTTTTGCTTGAATTCACAACAAAAATCAATTGGTACTCATAAAAAAATGATTTTTTTTTCTTCATTAATTTTTGGATTATATTTAATACTTTGTGAAACCAATGATAGGTGCAAGAAAGATAATGTTTGTTTCTTTTATTTTCAATTGTCCACTTACACAAATTTTGTGGTGCTGTTTTTTTTTGTTTTTTTTTTGGTTTGTTTGTTTTTTTGTTTGTTTTTTTTGTTTTGTTTTTCCAGAGCGGGGTCATGATCCTTTTGACATTTTACCTGAAGGCTGGATTATTGTTACACATAACAGTGGTATGCCTGTGTATTTGCACAAAGAAACTAGAGTGTGTACCTTGTCTAAGCCATATTTCTTGGGACCTGGCAGTGCTAGAGTAAATATGCTTTTCCAATTTTTCTCTCTTGTAAAGAAAAATTTCAGATATCTATTAATATTTAACATCAGATTCTGATTTTTGTTATGTAGAAGTCTGGTATATCGGAATCCGGGACTTTCTCACTCCTGTTTGAGAATACCACCCTTACTGGCTATGTCTGCAGCAGTGAAGCCATACTTACCACACTTGACCAATTGCTGCTTAGTGAGGCTATTTAACTCATAGTTGGAAGTTATGAATTTGGAGTTGTCCTTTTCCTAGACTGGTTGTCACCCAAGGCTATAGGACTCAGTCTGTTCTGCTATTTACCCATAGGTAGGGAGAAGAGATGAATTCATACCTTTTCTAAGGGTATTTGCATGTAAATGAATGTAATGAACTCAACTAGAATTCAAACTCTATTCTCTGATTCCTCAATCCAAGCTGTTATCGTTACTTCACCATGCCTGCTATGTAGACCTTCAAAAATATAATTAAATATTTAGGTAAATTGACCTATGCAACAAATTTCTTGTTATTAATAGTTTTTTACAATCTTAAAACTTAAATAGTAATCATAATGTAATAGTAATACAATCTTAATGCTTATGTAAATCTCCGCAGCAGTTATATTTGAAAAATGGTCCAGTGTCAGAAAAAAGTTCTGAAATAAATTCTCAAATATCAAAGATAATCAATAATGGTACCTTTTTGTAATCTTAAAGAGAATTGAAATATTTTAAAGTATTCTCTTAAGACTGGAATGAATAGTAATCCAAGGTGCAATATCTCGTGAATACAGCAGATAAGTGAAGACTTCCTAATCTTACTGTAAAATTTTAGTCAAGTGTTATCTTAATAGAACATTACTCCTTTCACTTATCCATCAATTAGTTGGTCTAATAGTAGCAGTACTTATTCAAAGTGAATCATTTTGGTTTTCAGACAGCACTCCTAGTAGAGGAATACCTCACTATCTCCCCAAAGCAAGGTGGAATAAATAAGTAATGGTAAAAACCAGTACAATAAGAAATAAGGTAACAGTTATGCACAAGGTAATCGCAAGTCAAACCAGTAGGTTGTTATAGGTATTCACTACTCATGGGGGTGACAGGTTATTCCATTACATCAGTCACATTTCCACCTTTATTAAAATAAAGTTTTTAAAAATATCAAAATATGCGTTATTTTCTTCCAATTTCATTGTTAAAATCACTAAACAAAAGTATGCACATTGTGACAAAATGTTTTAAAAATGCATGCTGTCAATGAAATCAAGTGACCTTTCTGAATGAATGTAGTTAAAACTAAGCACTCTTGATACAATCTAATGACAAAAAGGAACAAACCTTTTGGCTAACCCTAGAAGAATGACAGCTTCTTTTTGTCTGACATTTTCAGTTTAAATTAATGGAGAAGTTCAATTTGACAGGTGTTAAAAATTGTAAAATTCAAAAATATTAACTGGTTTTAGCGTATAAGTTGCTCTAAAAAAATAAAATGCTAGTAATATAGATTTAACTGTTCAGGCTATGCTTTTCCTACACTATACAAATTTTGGGTATTCAGAAATGAAACCCTCCAACAAAACATTTAAAGATGTACTGACCTCACTAAACTTTTTTTTCTTTTTTCTTTTTCTTTATTGGAGAGAGGAGAATTTTTTACAAAAATTAATTTGTCATAACTATGCAACAAATCATACAAATTTAAACTTGGGATACATTCTAATGTTTTAATTTTTTCTTTTTTTAGCTTCAGTTTAAAAAAAAAATTCAACAGCAACTACTACTACTGCTGTTGTTATTATTGATGATAAATTTTCTAAGAGTGTAATAATTTATCAATATAAGGGAAAGGAAATTCTGAGTAGTTAATTTGATGTTTGCAAAAATATTTTTAATTAATGCTAGTTTACAATATTTAAAAACATCTTTATTTAAATAGTTCTATGTTTAGTAAATTCCAAAGACTTGCACTTTGTTTTATTAATTTATCATGAAATGTGACAGCCAACTTTTTTCTTGGGTAATTTTAATGAAAAAAATGCAAGATTTCTTAGTCAGTTTCACTTTTACAATTTTGTTATTAATAAATATACATTGGTAGCATAGCATTTGCATGATGCTATTTATAAGATCTTACAACTGCACTAAATAAAACATTGAAGTATTTGCTGGGCTGAAGTGGAGAAAATTTTTATAGAATGTAGAAAATTCTTGGCACTTTGCTACTATTTATTTTCCAGTCTGCATTTTGTCAAGTTTCATTAGTTGTCATGATTAGAGAAATTTTGAGGCTGCTTTCTTCATGTTGAATACAAGTTTCAGGGATGCAGGTGTATATTTGCTGCTCTAACCTGGAATTGAACTTGGCTTCTCTGAGTAGTGAGATCCCTTGAAAATCTTTCCTCCATTAATCTGCATGTAACTGACACATTTACATTTGTGCTGTCCTTGATATATATATAGTGTGGGATATTTCTTTGTGAGAGAAGTGGGGATACTGCTGCCAAAAAGGAATGTAAGTCAGTTTTCACAGATACTTTTACACTTTAGAGAAGAAACAAAAAAAGATGCAAATTACATTTGGTCTTTATAAACACTCTATATTCTCTTTTTTACTTAATCCTCTGAGCAAGTCATATCACTAATCAAAGATAGATTCGTACTTGAATGTTCAGATGCACATTGGAAACAGTTATGGCAATTTGCCACTCTGTAAAATAAAAAGACTTGTTTTAGAATTTTGCAATGAATTAACAATGTACACTGCATGTTGGTGGAATGGTGTTTGGTTCTTCTTATATGATCTACATTATATGAAAATCAGCAAAATTATTTAATATCTTAATTTAATGAATCTTCTAAAACAGATTTTTAAATTTTTTTACTTTGCATCACCTGGAAGATTTTTCTTAGAGCATTTAACAAAATCCTGTTACTTATTCTCCTTATTAAAGTCACCTTTTCTATATTAATCCATATTGCATCTCAAGTATACCCTGTTTTCTTCTTTCTTTTTTTTTAATCTTTTGTGACACTTGTAATTAATTTTGTAACTAACACAATTTATTCATGTACATTCTTTTAGTTTTATTCAGTTCCTATACTTCTAACGACTAAAATAAATTGTTTTTCTCATTTGCAGCTTATATTGTTGTTTTTTTTTTTTTTTTTTTATATATATATATAGAAACATGACATTCCAGTAAGTGCAATTCCTTGTTTGCATTATACACGAGAATTGGACAAAGAGCAACGTGAGGAGAAGGAAGACAGTGATGATGCACCAGAACATATAAATCATTCAGACAACCACTCTAATGATAGTCTAACAAATTCAGGTAAGCTGCATATGACTTTCCTAATAAAATTGCATACCTAATTCAAGTAATTACATTTCAATTTTTTTATATCAGTTTTCCTATATCATTTTCAGACTCTGTCTTCTATATTTTGACTACTATAAGTAATTCTATAAAGTCAATTTCACACTCCTAAACCATAATCTGGATATAACTTAAATAACTAGATAGATCAAAAGTTACTCATTGCAAGATTACTTTGTCTGATGTTAAAATCTGGACTTTTCAAACATTTCTTGTTCAGTTTAACACTTTCATTTGCAACTAAAATCCCTTTACTCTTGATCATTATTTGACTTGTTAGATAAATGCTAAAAATGTTGTTAACTACAGTCTGTTAATATTTGTTACTTTTCAGTCATATTAAATTTTCCCTATAAAATTTTTGTTTCTTGCATAAATGTAAAATATTTATCACAAAAGAACAGAAACTAACATTTTGTTGCCATGCTTACTAAGAAATGATTGAAATTTGTATAATTGTATCTGTATAATACCAATAATTTTGTCATGCAAGTTAACATGATATTTGGTAACTTTGGTTAATTAAAATGCTAAATTTTTTAATATCCTATATTTATTAATTGCCCATTGAAATTGGATTATTAATTATTGCACCAATTTATATTTTATAAGTACTGATATTTTAAAGGGTTTTGAATTAGTCATTTATCTGCTTGAAATGATTGTCTTTGAACTGTATGATGTTTTCTGCAGGGGCTGATGATATTGATCCACCGGAGCAACTAAATGACTACGCTCATTCTGCTGTTACCGAGAAAGGAAATATCAGTGAAGTAAATCAGAAGGAGAATTCCCCAGGTTAGAGAAATTTATATTGCTTCATAACAAATGTGTAGAATAATTATATAGATCTAGTCATATTGCAAGAACTCCAAATAGACATTCTGAATACTCTGGCAGTCAATAACTGCTTGTAGATTTGTAACCATTAAGAAGGAACCACCAAAAGCTACCAAATAGTGAGAATTGGCACCAGTTGTAACACACACACAGGATATATCTTTTATATAGTGTTATATCCTTAAAGAGGTTATAGACAAAAGTGGTACTTGAGTGAAAGAACAGCAACATGCGCATAGATGAAAGAAAGAGTCAATTTATGTAAAAGAGAATATGCTACTGAAAGACAAGGAATCAGCAGGCTAGTAATTCACAAAGCAAGTCCCCAGGTATATCCTGTGCTCACTATATATATATATATAGACTGATATAGTCAGTCCACATAAGCGATAGGGAGTGTGGAACATTCCATTACAACACATAGCCAATTTGATATTGAATGTGATACCCAATTGTAAAATTTTTCTAGTTCTCATCTCATTTGCTCTGCACTATTGTAGTCACCTGTCTACACCTGAGGTTTAGAAATCAGCACAGGGAGTTACAATGTTGCATCATCTAGTGAACCTTTAAAAGTTTGTTGTGTTTACCTGAAAGTAATTAGAAGTTACCTTTGGGCCTGTGGCATTGTGATTTCACCTTGACAGATGCGGTAATTTGTCATAAGCAAATGACTGAACACTGATGAAATCTTCACAGGGTTTACACAATGGAAATCATTTTCTCTACTTTTGCAGCAGTGAAGGAATTTCTATGAATATGTGTTCCTTTTTAATAGCAGTAGTAATAGTTGCATACACGTTCTTGGTAAAAGGATTTTATTTTTTTGTCTTCACTTTTAACACTGGGAGCTATTAGTTTATCTAGGAGGCAGGAACCTAACTTTCCCTTCTAAATTTTGAACAACAAAAACTTCAAAGACTGGACACTGGTGATAGACATATCTTTAAGAAATTAGGATTTGTGTAGACATATACTGTTGGGCCAAACATTCTTGCTTAAATAGCTGTTTCTTTCAGTTTGAGGGTTTTTAATAATTCAACAATCCATCACAGCTACTAACACAAATTTCTGCCAAAACATTGTTTGTGCTAACTTTTGAAAACCGATGGCTTATCATATTATATCAGTCAGTTTTTGAGTCTTATCAGTTTGATATGAAACAATGCATTTCTGAAAAGTAGGCACACCTGAATTTTCAATACCTGAGGTTTAAAATAAAATTTTAAAAATGAAAAAGCATTCTTGAAGATTTCATTTTAGCTTTAATTGAAAGCTAAATGATTAAATTTACTATTTCCAATAAGCAACATACTCTGGTGTATTTCAACTAGAAATTATATAGAATTGGAATGTCAATTTTTTGCTCATTTTCACAGAATCAATTACAAGTGCCATTTTCTCACATTTTAACACATTTGTAAACAAAATTTAATTATCGGGTTTAAAAATCTTCCAAAAATAAAATATATATTTGTCACACATTATTTGAGGAAAATTAGCAAATTTAAAGTTAAGTTAATCTGTTTTGAAACAAATATTACTTATAGCATAAAAAATGTAGTATACAAGCATTTCTTAACCACATGTCCGGTTTTTCTGCCGTGCTGATTGATCTTATTGACTGGCTAAAAGGTGTTGACAGTATGGATGACCAGAATTGATATAAATTTATGAAATGTAAGTGAATGCTTGTTTTTTTTTGTTTTTTTTGTTTTTGATTTTTAACTACTTAGTAATTTTTACAAATTAACATAATATTTTCAGCATTTATCTAATATTTAAACTTTTGAAACTTTGAAGGGATGATGTGCAAAGCCTATTGGGATGTAAGCATACAGTGAATAATGAATTACAGACAAAACAAATTTCTCAGTAAATCATTTTTATATTGTCAGTCTTTGATTTGTAAGCATAGTTTCCACTTAATTACAATATCATCTAAAAGAAAGCTAGTAATGCAAAATTTTAAATGAATTTTTAAATTATTATAAATTAAAATTTAAAAAAAATGAAAACAATTCTTGTAAAAATTCAATTATTTATTGAAATTTTTTTTTCTTAACAGTATAGTGTCTTTAATATATATTATTTATAAAAGTTAAGTAAAAGCTTTTCTAATTAAATAATGTCATAGTTTTATTGCAGTTTTTAGTTTATGGTTTGAAGCAGATTTTCGGTAACTGGTGATCATGTCTGAAAAAAAAAACGGATTATTTACATTCTCATAGCAGTCCTACTTTTAACTAAGAAAAACTTTGAAAGAAAATTTAATTTTTTGAAATTCCGTGAAATTAAGTAAGTGGGGTGTAACATACGTAAAAAAAAAAATTTCTAAAATTTTCTAACAATAATAATTTCAAAAATAATTTAATTAATTTGTGAATAAGTTCTGAAAGTTTCATTAAAATCCAACAATTGTTTGATTTTTGCAAGAATTCTCAAATCAATGTGTTTTTCACTAGAAAAAATGCACAAAAACACTAATGGTAAATATTACATCAACCAGTGACATTAAAAATAGATTTTTATACAAAATTTCAAATGTGCTAGAAAGGATTAAAAAATTTAATAAAATAATAAAAAAATACTTTGGTCGTTACTCTTAATAATAACATAAACATTTTGATGATAAAACTTTATTTTATTTAGTTTACGGCTTTTTTCATCATGCTATGCTTTTTTTAGCTAAAAAGTGAAGCTACCTACTGAAGAGTTAGTACATGTCACACACCCTACACGGTTTGTATAACTATAATAGATTTTGCTTGGTGATTGTAAAAATAATGCACATTAATTGAAATGGACTGAGCTTAAATCTTAATTGTTTCATTATTGTAGGGTTTAATATATCAAGACAAAATATTGATACTTATGTACAGGTCTCACATTAAGATTCAGTGTGACTTAAGAAAAATATCAGATGTTTTCTTTTGACATTTTAAGTTTAAGTTTTCTATTTTTTTTATTTAACTAGATTTAATTTATATAATAATAAATTTAAGGTTCTATACTTAACATAGATGTTGATAGCCAGTCGAGTTTGTTGCATTCACTTACATGCAAATACTCTTTTGAACATTATGAATCCATCTCTTCTCCCTTCAGCTATAGATTGAATAGCAGGACAGACTGGTTGGTAACCAGTCTACTGCAGAAAGAATTGACAACCTACTGCAGAAAAATTTTAAAACACTCTCTTCTAACATGCCTTGAGCCAGCATGGAAGAGTAGGCTCATAAATTAACATGAGAATAATATCTTATGTTGATGTGCAGTCTGCACCAAAGCAGAGTAAATATTTTTGAAAACACAAAACACTGTCTTTACAAAGATATCCTAGCAATTTATAAATTTTAAAGAAATGGAAACTGGAGCACTATGACCACCTACATTCTTAAAAGGATGTGGCATTTAAAGAAACTGATGGCATTATAAACAAAAAAATTAAAAATAGCATCAATATATGCTCATTTGTGGAATATTGGATTTTTATTTTTGTTAATCTTTAGACGCTGATGAAAATTCTGCAGACCAGTCAAGCAATCAGGACAGTTCTTCAAAAACACCTGCTGTGAAAATAGAATGTGCTGAAGAGAGAAAGAAAGAAAATTCTTTGGGTAAATTCTTATTTTCTAAAGGCATCCTTAATTTTCAAACATGTTTTCCTGATTTTTGGAATCAAAATGTTTTTTATAAAAATAAATAAATAAAAATATAAACTGAATTTAAAATATTTCTTCAATAGAATTTAACATTTTCGTCTATTAGGTCAAGTATAATAATTGATGATTATATATTTTTACATTAACTATTTAATATTTCTTTATATATTTGGTAAATAGATATGTCAAGAAGAATAGATTTTTGTGAAATGTTTATATTTGCATACTTATTGTTAATATGTGATTAAGAACTAAAAAATGAAATTTGATGTAAAAAAAAAAAAACTGTAAATATTAATCTATTAAAATAACTGTCATAATTTTAATAGTATTCAACTTTTTTTATTAATTGAATATTATTGTTTCCTTGCAGACCCATTAGAGCTGAGAAAATATTGTGAAAGGCTGTTTGAATTTAAAATGATTACAGTGAAGAAATTCAAGTAAGAAAATGATAGCATTGATACAGTGTACTTTAAAAATTATTTGTGATTATTATTGGATAAGAACTTGTTAAATACTGCAAAAGGCTCTTAGAAAACATTTTTCATAACAGCATATCTACCAAGTACTAACACAGTAATTGAAAATAATCGTGGAATTGAATCGGTGATTTTTTTTTTTTTTTTTTTTTTTTTAATGTCAAGTGCTTTTTGCCATTAATGCAATTGCAGTTCTGTAGAAAACATGCAAACCAGGGAAGAAAATTTGAGGATTGGATAGGAAATATAAATTATATTGACTGAGAAAACTACTGGTAAAGTAATACTGCTTACAATCAGATCTTGTCAAAAAGTTTTATTCACTAATGAAAAGCAAAGGTAAATATTAATCAAATACAAGGTGAGAAAATTTAATTATTGGAATCACCCTTTAAAAACAAAGTTTGCTTGCCTGGCATTTATCAACTTCAAAATATTTCTCTTTTGTGTTGATATGTTCTTTGTGAGATGTTGGTGCCATCGCTGGAAACATTCTTGGAACTCATTTTCCAGAATACCTTTCTATAATATTTTCACATGCTGCTGGATGTTAGCAAATATTTGTCCTTTCAGGGCATTCTTTAATTTTGGAAATAGCTCAAAATCACAGGTGGCTGTCTGGTGAATAAGATGCATGGCCCATTTTTTGTAATAGATTTCTTAACCAGGAGCTTACAAACTCCTAACATATCATTTTCTTGCTCCAAAATCCTGTTAGAATCTGTTGCACTATTTCTCTATTTATTTTGAATTCTTCTGCTATCAGTTGCACATTTACTCTTCAATCTAAGGTTTACACTGTGTTCACATTGTGTCTTTGGTAAGAAACGAGTTTCTTGCATCATCATGCACATCTTTTCACCTGTGTCATTCAATTTCTTCATAGCTTTTTGCCATAAGCCATTTTAAATGGGCTAACATTTCACTAAGAATTTTACCAATCTTCACACAAATTTTGATGTTAATCTACTGCTCCAGAATCCTTTCACTCAGTATAGTACAAACACACATAACTTCCTCTACTGCTCAACAGCAAATGACTCTTCTGATCTGTGGAAGTTGGACATGCCTGGGTATAAATATTTGTTTGATTCATTACACCAACAACACACTGCAGTCATTCTGGGAAATAAATTTTCAGACTTTCTATATACTTAGTACAATCAGGAAAGTAAAAAATATATGGTTCAAAAGCATGCATAAATACCTTTCTTCAACTCTGTATTTGATATTTTTATATTTCTTTCTTTCAGTCCTTATGAAAAAAAGGTACCTAATGATTTAATAAGAACAAAAAAATACTCCCAAGGAAAATAATGCATATATCACTGTATAACAAAATTTTGACTTTTTTGTCTTTGGTCAGTAAGTATTATTTCTTAATTGCTTCTGTCTAGAAAGCAAAGGAAATGACTATTATTCCCTTCAAACTTTGATTTTGTGACCTGGACAGAGGGGAAAATAGGCCAGTGAAATTCACAATCCCACGAATTTGGAGGGAACCAACTGACCACTCAAGCAATTACTTCTTCTGCATAGTGGACCCTTCCAAACAACTAACTGGCAAGAATGTATCTATCATATATTCAGACCTTCTGTTATCCATTGCCCCAGTGCTCCACTGCACTGAACTCTCTGTACCCACTCCTCCAAAGAGAGATTAACTGTCTTCAGAACAGAACATCAATTTAGATGAGAATGAAGTCATTGATCCAGATTACAAAGGCACAGCTCAGGAGAGAAACCCATACTACCTCAACCAAAAAGACCTCAATAACCTGATCAATCTTGGTCTCACAAAGTCTCACAAGCTTTTGACATTGAGATTCAAGCACTGGAATTTGTTAGATAAAAGTGGGCAAGTTGTAGATCAGAGAAAGTATCATCAGTGTTTTTCAAGCTTTTTCACCTGTCAAGATGGGCTTTGTTTCTGCCACAATGTGATCAGTTCAAGGTAATTGTAATTGCCTGTAACACCAGTGAGTGTTGCCCCTTCTTCAACAGCTCATCCAAGAGCCTCAAAGCCATGCTGCTTCATAACAGGAACATGTATTCATCTCTACCCATGGATCACAGCAGTGTCAAGATGTTACTAGATGCCTTGAAATATGAAGAGTACTATTGAAAGGTTATCGGAGACTTCAAAATGGTGGCTTTCCTGATGGGTCTCCAAGACAGCTTTACCAAGTTCCCATGTTCTGTTTGCCATCGGAACAATACAGACACTGCAGCACATTACTGCAGGTGGGACTGGTCGCAGTGGACCAAGTTCAGTGAGGGGAGTAACCACATCAAATGGGAGCCAGTGTTGGACTCCCAGAAAGTATCATTTCCTCCGCTATACACTTTAAAATCAGGCTTTATGAAACAGTTTATCACAGCTCTAGGTAAAGGAGTTTGCCGCCTTCAAGTACGTTTAAGACTTCTTCTCTAAGTTGTCTGCGGCAAACATCAAAGCCGATGTCTTTGTCAGACCACGAATAAAGAAGATCATAGAACGCAAAGAATTCCTCAAGAAACTCACTAAGACAGAGAAAGCAGCATGTAACAGCTTTGTCGCAATAGTTCAGAGCTTCCTGGGGAGTCACAAGGTTGAAAACTATATTGTTCTTGTTTGAGACCTTGGTGAAGAACTACAACAAAATGGGCTGCAGGAAAGTACATACCCTTTATGCTCAACTTGATAAATTTAAGGAGAACATGGGGGCATATTCAGAGAAGCAAGGCAAGCGCTTCCACCAAGATATACTGGACTTTGAATGCCACTACCAAGGATTGTATAATGAAAACATAATGGGGAAACTATATTTGAGGGCTAATCTGTGAAAGTAATTTACAATATAAGCATAAATCATGAAAAACTACTCACTTCTAAATTTTTTTTTGATCTCTCTTGTGTAATCCTAGAATAAATAAATGCTACTTTTGAATCCAGTGTCATTTTGTTCCTACTTTTTGTGAATGAGAATGTTCATATTCACCAGTCTTCCCAATGGGAATAGGTAAAGTTTTAAAAAAAATATTATTATCCTAGTCACAAAAACAAAGTTTGAAGGCAATATTTCATTTTTCATACTTTTTAGGAATAAGCAAATAGAAAATAATAGTTGCTACCTAAGGACAGAAATAGTGATACACAGTGAATTAAACAGCTTGATTATGCTTTAATGTTATTACTATTACTACTACTACTAATAATAAGCAATAAACTGAATCCTGCTTATTTATACTATTTACATTGTTTGAACTGTTGTTCTCATCTTTATTATCACATTCATTTTGTATAGCTAAAACATTGTGAATATAACAATAAATATGAGGACAACAGTCCAAACAATGTAAATAGTGTAATTACAATACTCCATCTCAGAAATATAGACAAGATGTATCCTGTTTCTTTCTACTACAGAACATGGAAGGAAAGGCGGCGTCATATGAGTTTAATGAAAAAGCAGTCACGACCAGCATTAGTAAGTAATGTTCTCTTGTTTGGTAGAAAAGCTAAATGAATAGTTGTATCATTCAGTTGGTTATACTATTATCTCATGCATAATGATAAAATAATAATAGATAGGTTATTTTCATAGAAATAGTAACAAATATAAAATTAATTTAAAGACTTTCATTGTAATTAGAACAAAATCAGCTACTGAAAATAAAAAAAAACTTATTTATTAGGTCTAATAAATCAAATCAACCTTGTTTTCTTATAAAAGTGTAACTAATGGCATCAGCAAAATTAAATGTAGAACTAGATTTAATGGTATTGTTAGTGAGTAATAATCTATCAGAATAGATTTTGCTGCTTGTAAGGCATAACATCACAGCTATTACATTGGTCAGTTAAAAAAAAAAAATAAGTGTTGTGGCAGCAAGGAAATGTTAAAGTACAAGATGCTAAATACAAAGAATTTAGGAGAACCATTGAAACCAACCACTAGGTTTCCTATAAAAGACACCCATATGGAAAAATGTGCAACAGGATACATTAATTATTTACACTATTTATATTCAGACTATTGTCATCATCTTCATTGTTATCATGTTTCAGCTGTTGTGTCCTCTGGCTTTCATCAGGTGTATATTGATCTGGATAATGTACAATAGCATAGTGAGCTAAAGCATTGGTTCGGGAATTTGGTGACCTAGTAATTGTGAGTTCAATCCCTATGCCGATTTTTTTTTTTTTTTTTTTTTTTTTTTTTTTTCTCAACCATTCTTTTTACAAAAAATATTGTGCTACCTTTCACAGGCAGGACAGAGCATAGGCTGAGTAGCTATTAGTGGACCTATGGTGAGTTCCAGATGGTGTTAAAACAACTCTGATATAACATTTGTTTTCTTAAGGCAGTTGTGGAGCCATAGTTTAAGGAGCTAAACACTTTCAGAAAAAATTATTTTTATGTGTCACATTTAGTAAAGAAAAACTAACAAGTATTTGAATAGAATGAGTTTCAAATGCACTTGTTTCATGAATTGGCTGGCTCTTTTTAAGTTTTCAATCCAGTTAAAGTTTGCTTGATCTTAATTCTGAAGAGGAACGTTTGACAAAACTGTAATTTACCAGCAAAGATAAACTTTGGAATCCTGTTCTGGATGCTGTACAGTCTGTTTCACAAAAATGAAAAATATGGAGTAAACATTTCACATTCATGCTCAAAACATTTGTCTTTATAACTTGTGCACATATTTGGTAATTATAATTTTTTATTATAATTTTATGGGGAGTTTCAATAACCTATTTAGTAATTTGAAACTTGGAAAAGTCCAGTAAAATTCATAAAACCTGCCACATTGCAAGAATGTCATCTAGTGTATTTATATTTATGTGCAATAACTTGCACCTTAAAACATTTACCTGAATACCTTTTTAAGTATTTTTTTTTTTTTTTTAAATAGGGAAAATAGCTAAAAATATGAGATGCAGTGTAGTTCATTTATTATATTTATTTATTAGAATATATATTTGCTTGTTTTGAAAGATAAGCCATGATGTACATTGGTTGTTTTCTTTTTAAAATAAGTGCTATTTAGTGAGTTTACATTATTACAAATATTCAATATATTATCACTAATCATCATTATATTATTATGAACAATTAATACATTGTATTTACTAAATTATTTATACATTAGCATGAATAATTTTATTTATATTCTAATATAACAATTTATTTTTTGAAAGGGAATATATTTTCGAATTTGTAAGAAAAATGTATGAAACAGTTTATTTCATTTGGTTCATTTTTTATTAATGTTTTTTTGTATAGGCGATTTTTCTTTTTTTCTTTTTCTTTTTTTTCCTCGCCCCCATTATTTATCATTCAAACAATAATAAAAAATGGTATAATATACATATATTTGACAATAATTCTATACTATATGTATATTCTCTTCATATTTATTGATTTATTTATTTTTATCATTTAAATAGATATTATGATAATAGTAAGTGGTTCACTTAACAATGAAATCTTTACTCCATTGTCCAATGTAAAATATATATGTATCTGTGTATTTAAATTTCCAATTATTTAATTTAAGTGATCTAATTTTATGTTAATATTCCTTTGATTTCAACTCCTGGGGTAACCTTCAGAGAGGTTTTAATAATTTAGTAATTCCTCCTTGGCCAGAGATAGTGTATCGACAAAAGCACACAGCTTCCTGTGCTGTGAACAGGTTAATAAGAGTAGATAGATTCACTTATCACTCAACCAATACACCTTCCATGTTTATTGAATAGGAGTAGATGTTTATTCCTTGTTTCCTTTTGAGGATATTGTTTAGCAGTTCCTTTCTTCCATGGCCTTAATGATTCAACTGTCTTAGCTTTTGGGGATCTGACTGATTGTTGGCTGCAACTTTTCATTATGAGGGTACTAGGTTGGCAGTTTTCTGGTTGCTGTATCCTGACTAGTAATAAGGAAGCCAAACACTTTGGTAGCACTTAGAGTGGCCACATAATATTAAGGTATTTGCAGTGCCATGTTCTGTATGAATAATTGTCCCTGCAAGTATTTCCAGTGTATAACCCTGAGGCCACATTGAGCTTATTCTTAGTTACCTTCTGACCAGTTTCTATTGCCATAGATGATGGATAGTGATAATTATTTTGCCCCTTTTTTTCCTTAAAACAATCTTCATATGATAGATAAAATGAAAAGAAATATGAGTAAACCAGTAAACAAAAATCACTTACCCTACTTAACCTTTCTTTCTCCAGTATTCATGATATTCTTCCACTTTGTCAAAAAGATTCTAGGATCCATATGCATGACCTTAGTGTTTACATTCAGTAAAATCTTCCAATGGCAAGAGAATTGTCTCTTGAGTCCCCCCCGATGATTCTTTCATGTTTTCAACTTTCTTTATTGCACTCTGTTAGCTATCACTTTTTCCTTTATTGCTCTCCTTCTTCTCAGGACTAACATATTAGATAAAATATCTAACAATATAGAAATGGCTCTCTCTACATTCATCATCATGTCAAGTGGCTTAAGCATTCTAATGTTACTGATGTTGCTGGTATTCAGACCTTCAATTTTTCCATTGCTTTCAGTCTCTCAGTCAAATAGTAGATTTCCTTACTTGTTTCCCTATTAATTCTTGATCAACATGCTTCTTTACTTGATTTGTTCCTTACCTCCTCACCTAGCTCTTGTCAAGCATCACAATTCTGTCTTCTTGGCAATTTGGATCATGCTGTAGTATCTGTTGATATTCCTTTTGAGTCATCTATTAGGCATGTATCTACTATTCACAAGGCTTCTTTCTGTTACTAGAATACTAATTAGGATCCATTTTGTGATGCCTCTTGGAGTGAAATTTTTAACTTTCATATTGAGAATTGTACCACATAGGTTTCTTCTTGGGTTAAAGCTGGCATTGATGGATTTATACCTTCTTGGAAATACCAGGTGAAACTGCAATCTTGCTTCACACCTGCCAATTCAGCTGCTATAAGAATCAGTTTTTCTTGCATGATAGTTTCAATTACAAAGAATACTTCTTTGTGTCTGCTTGTAATAATTGTAAATATGTCCTCAAAGAGGCTAAGTCTTTGCTAATAGAACAAGGCACTAGATAGCCTCTAACAAGTCTGGATCTCGTGACAACTGGCAGCTCTGTAATAGTGTATTAAATAAGAGTAAATCCCTCCACTCTTCACTCAGTTTAAGGTATTAACATCAGTTGATAAAGCAGAATGTTTTGTTTGTACATTCTCATCAAATTCTACTCTGGACTCATCTGTGTGATATAATTGTAACTCTGTTCATGGTTTTTGCTATCATCTGTAAACTGGATCCCTATGAAGCATAGGGACTTAACGGTCTTCTTGCAATAGTCCTTAAGATATGTGCTTCTGAACTAGCTTCTGTTCTTTCTAAACACCACAATAAATGCCTTGTTGCTTGTTGCTTTCCTGCTTGTTGGAAATTCTCTTCTGTAGTTTCAGAATTTAGGCAAACCTTCTGATCCTTCTACCAGACTTCTACCTCTTTTGGCAATGTAGTAGAGGCTCTAATCAACTCTGAATTGGTTAAGCATCTCACCTCACAGTGTCTTTCAGATAAGCAATAAGGTTTTCACATTTCTAGGTCAACTGCCGATGTGTAAAAGGTTATTGCTGAAAGAGTCTATCAAACTTTAAATATGAATGGTGAAGCTCAGGCTGCTGTTTTGGATATCTTGAAGGCATTTGACAGGGTTTGGCATGTTGGTCTTCTTCACAAGTTGAAAGGGTATGGTTCTGTACATATTTTTGAACCAGTTCAATCTATCTTATCAAATCATGAAATGAAAGGTGTCTTGAACAGCCATTCTATGCAGGTGTTCGCCAGAGCTGTAACCTTGGACCTACATTGTTCTTAATTTTAATCAACGTCCTTCCTGATGCCATCATTTCTCAGCTCGGCTACTGGCACAATTATTTATTCCTGTATTAACAGTAAGTTTGATTGGTTCAATGAGATAAAATTGGCAGCTGATCTAAAAAAATAACCTACAATCTGTTAACTGGGGCACGGAATGGCTTGTAATTTTAATGCCTTCAAAATGAAGCTGCTTTATTTTAATCGTCAAATAGAACCCTTTTTGCCTGCTATCTGCATGGCTGATGCTAACCTCACTCCAGGGGAGTGACTCATTGTGTCTTGTCAGACTAATGTTTTCTACTGACATGTATTGGAAAGATTATATTGAATCAATTACTAGGTCTGCTGCTAGGAAAGTTGGTTCACTGTGTTGTGCTAGACATTTTTTACTTGCACGGATTTATCTCACACATGCATTGAATACTGCTGTCACATATGGTCTGATGCTTCTATGTATTTAAAGATTTTAAGTAAAATACAAAGAATCTGCAATTTTATTGGTCCAGACTTGGCATCTCAGCTTCAGTCACTTTCCATCATTGTAATCTTCCCTGTACATTTTCTATAAATATTTTCATGGTAATTGTTCTGATGAACTTTCCTCTATGGTAGCTAGACTTTATGTAATTAAGCACAGTACTAGATTGGCAGCATGGTTTCATCGTTTTACAATTGAACTGGCTAGATGTAACCATAAATTCTATGCTAACAGTTTCTTCTATTGCACTTCTTACTTGTGGAATTCTCTTCTGGCTTCTTGCTTTCCAGTCAACTTTATTCTTAAAAAAAATTAAATGCAATATCAATTATAATCTATCCTCTGTAAAATTCTCTAAAAAAAAATTTTTTTTTTTTTTTTTCTGATCTGATTATTTTGTGTTTTCAGCCATCAAATACTAAGCTCATCACATGTCCTGTACCCTCAGGCAAGGGAGATGATAAAGTTAACCGTAGGAGAGGTTAGTATTCAATAAGACTTTTTTATTATTCTTTCTTTTCACTAGGCAAAGGAGGAAAGAAAAAAAGGAGGAAAGAAAAGTTAAATTTGCAATAAATTTTAGCACTAATAGTTTATGATTTTTTCTGTTTTTCTTTTTTACAGAGTTTGTATTAAATCCTAGTGGCAAATCATATGTATGCATCCTCCATGAATACGTCCAGCATACAATGCGAGTGCAACCACGTTATATATTTAGGGAAGTTGGTATGTCTTCTTTCTTTTATTATTTCTTTTATATATGAAATCATGAAGGGTTGAATCTTTTATTCCAATTATAGGATGTCTACATATTACAAAATTATAGCTCAATGACTAAATTAACAAGTATATAATGTGTATATTTGATATTAATCAACATAATTTCTACTCTCAACATTTTATTTGTTTTATGATATTTTTTATTTATTTAAATTGTGTTTTTGATACCTTATTTTTTTCTTTAATTCTGTTTACTTTTGTCTTCGTTCCTGTTTATATGTTTGTTTGTTTTTTTTTTTTTTAGATGTAATATATTTTTCCCATCTAAGATGACAACCTAATTTTAAACTTAATAGGTTTTCAATTCATTTTTAATTAATATGTATCTTTTTAATAAATGTTCAGCAACACAATATATACCATTATCATCCTTGAGAGAAAATGGTAAATATGCAGCTGATTTATTTGAACTAGTGTCTTCGTGTTTCAGCTGTTGTACTCCTGGTTTTGTTCAGATGCTTATCATATTTAGTAACTTGGGAATTTCAAACTAACTCTTTATTCAATCAATAGATGTTATGTTCTCATTCTGCTGTTTACTCGAAAGGATAATCTCATTTAATTTGCTTTCAGTCATTCCACTGAACCAGATTACAAATATTGAACACTCAGTTCCAGACCATAACAATAAAGCAAGTTGAATAAATCTTTGGTTTCCTCATGCATATACTGCATCATAAGTATGCAATATCATCAGGTCTTTAAAAACACTGTGCATACTTTAAAAATAGTTTATTGCAACCAAAATATAACACAAAGTGAGTAAATGCAGTTGGCAAAATGTTACTTATTAACAGAGTTGCTATAAAATTTAGTAGAAATGCAATAACTGAAGTGCAATAAAACATATGCCTGTATATAAATTTCACTGCTTTACTCCAGGATTAATCTCACTGCCATCAGATATTGGATATGCAGACATATTTCCACTATTTACTAGAACTAGACTAGATATCCCTAGATATACACAGTACTCCATAGATTAAATAGAAGGTTCAGTTCAAAATTTCCTCTAAAAATCCAGGTTGATGTACACCTGATGAAAGCATGGAGGACACAACAACCAAAACGTTGTGGGAACAACAACAAAAATGAGGGCAATAGTCTGAATGTAAATAGTGAAAATAATAACTCCTTATCTCAAAAATTCAGACAGAAATTACCAACATTTATATCCACTAATGTGAATGTTTGAATAAATCTATGTATAATAATGATAATTCTTTTTCTTAGAAATTTAGAGCATAATATAAAGACTCTGGTTATAAAATTTTTTGGCATTGAAAACTTACCTTTGTCCTATGTGCTTTTAATGTAGCCAGTAGAAAGCATACAGAAATTGATAAATGCAGTCAGTGTTAAGAAAAAAGGATTGTGTTTTATATTTTTTGAATTCAACAAATTTCTGATTTTAAATATAACACTTTTTAAAAATGACTTACATTGGGTATTTTATCAAAACCTAATTTTTATTTATGTTCAAAACATTCACCACAAGAATGAAATAATTAGAATTTCCCTTTGTTTCTGTTGTGGCCTGTTAGTGGCCAGAAAGAAAGACACAGAAAGAAGAATGATTTCCAAGCCCGGTTCATAATGTGTAAGAAATAAGTCTGATGTCAGTGTTTTCTTTATTTTTTCAAATGCCTCCTGGTATTCTGCTGTTCAAACCCAGGGCCTATCTTTTTTTTAATAGTTCATTAAGGCAGACATGCAAATCATGCATATTTGGTATGAATGCCTGGTAATAATTTGTTAGTCCACGGAACAAAACAATGTTATTGGGCACCAGCATGTCTTTAATCGCAGCAGCTCGTTCAGGATTTGGTCTCCTGCCATCCTTGTCAATTATGTGTCCTAGGTATTTGATTTTTTCCATGAAAAAATGACATTTAGTCTCTAAGTTTGAAGCTGTAATCTTGAATCTTAGCAAAAACACTTTGGCTTTTCATCAGAATGTCATCTAAATAAGCGACTGACAAGTCAAGGCCGCTGAACATAGTATGCATGACTTCCTGGAAAATTGCTGCCATGACCTTGACCCCGAACAGTAAACATTCGAATTTATATAATCCATGATGCGTATTTATACACATTAGCTTCGAACTCACCTCTTCAACTGGAATTTGCAAATAAGTGTTTATAAGGTTGATTTTTGAGAAAAATTTCACTCAATTTAGATTCACAATATGTCTTTTGGGCAAGGAAGAGGGTAATGATAGTCCTTCAGAACAACATTTAATCCTGTCAAAAAATCAGCGCAAATGCGTATGTCTTTCGATTTCTTTTTTACATAGACCATTGGTGCAGTCCATTCGCTGTACTCTACCTTTGATAGAACTCCAGTTTTTACTAATCTGTCAAGTTCTTCATTAATTTGTTCCAATGAGGCAAAAGGCACATTTCACTTCTTTTTGAACACTGGCTGGACGTTGTCTTTTAGTTCAACTTTTGCCATCATCTTGGTACGCCTGCCTAACCCACCAGGAAAAATTTCCTGGATAGGCTTTCTTCAGTTCTTTTTTTAGCTTTGGCCTTCCAATTTTTTGGCAGTATGAATTTTACAGGTAAGTCCCAAAGCTTAAATACTGTCATCCAATCAGTGCCAAATAGGTTGTTAGTATTTTTCAGGACGATCAATTTTAATTTAAGAGTCTTCCCGTTGAATGTTGTATTAGCAAACAATTCTCCCTTGAATTTAATTTTTTTCCCCTGTTACTGATCTTGCAATCTTGCAAGATTTTATCATGGTTGGCTTACCCAATCTTTTCCATGTTTGCAAGTTTATTATTGTCAAATCAGAACCAGAGTCTAGTTGAAATTTAACATTTTTATGTGCACAAATTTCCTGGTATTTCCTGATACCGTCTAGTTCGTCCAACCTTGTGTTTATTATGCAGCTCTTGGTTTTATTTTTAGATCGGCAATGCAAGCTTTTGTGTCCAACTCAGTTACATATGTAACATTTTTTGTTTCGGAAAATACAATCTTTGTACCTGCCCAACATCTGTAACATGGGTTAGGGAGAAAATTATTTAGCTTTTTCTTTGTTTCATTAGTTTTTAGGAGACATTGTTTGTTTCTGTAGCATACTTTTTTGATGTGAGCAATACCTGATTCTTTGATATTTTTAGAATCCTTCTTTAAACTGACGTACATCTGACATTCTTCAGTGATCTGCTGTAGAGTTATATTCGGCTCATTCTCCAAATTATTTAGTATTCTTCATCTAATTTCTGCATCTTTTGTTGAAACTAGTCCTTGCACGAATATCAAACATTTGAAGTTATTCGCACTTAACTCTGCCGGTCTAAAAATCATTGCAGTGCTTGTTTACTATTGACACAAAAGTGATATAATCTTCCCATTCTTTCCTAGTTAGATTAAGACATTTCCATCTCTTATGGAAAAGAGAGGTCTTTGGACTGAAAAGCTCCATGAGTAATTCCACTGCTTCGGTGAATGTCAACTCACTAGTCTTCTGGGGCAGAATGTAGTTTATGAATTTTGTGTGCTCAGTTGTGCCAAGTTTCCTCCAAAGAAGACATACTTTTTTTGATTTACTCCAATTTGCACAATCTTTAATATATAAATCCTCATATCTCCTAAAGTATGACACAAAGGTTATGGCTTCCTCGGGAGTGTATGAAAAATTCTCTATCGCACTCCAAATGGTGTTTTGCGAAAAATGAAATTCATTTTCATGGGACTACTACGGCTTGTCAGTTCTAAAACTTGCTTTTGAAATTCAAGCTGTCTCTCTTAATTTTCCTTCTGGGTTTGCAGAAATAAATTTTCCATTATTTCCTGTTGAGAGAGCAATTGTTTTTGCCACTTCGCTTCCATTCTTTCTTGGAGCTGTAATTGCTGTGCATTCTAGTACTTTACAAGATCTAATAAAATACTTTTGAAATCCTCCATGATAAGTGTCCTTTTTTTTTTTTTTTTTTTTTTCGGTTTTACTTCTGGTTTTTTCCAGATGCTTTTCAAATGAAAAAACTGACAAAAAAAATAAAATAAAAAAAATTTCTCATACATCCACTGTTAAAACAAATTAGCAATTACACATAGTTCTTTTACGAAAACTCGTTTGCCCGTATTTTAGGAGAGTTCCTTTTTAATCCCAGTGGTCCTCACAAATCCTTGTCACCAAGTTGTTGGGGCCTGTTAGGGGCCAGAAAGAAGAAGGCAGGTTGAACAAGTGTATTGAAAATAACAGAACATATATAGAAAAGAGTGTTATTAGTCAGCAGATAGAAGTGTCGATCCAAACTGTCAGGTTACACTGCATCCCAACTGCCCTGCCTAGGAAGTCTCACAGGTTAGTATTTATGAAGGAGGAAGAGTTCATTCTAATGTAGATAGGTCACCATAACAGTTTCTAAACTGACAATATTTAAGTACACTTTTATATTTTTAGTTTCTGTAAATATAACTATAATATCTGGTGGTTTGAAGATGAGCATAATCTTTTTTTTTATTCATATACTGTCCAAAATAATTGGTGCTTTCGAACAAAAGTAAATTCCAAATTTTAAATATTAATAAATAGTAAAAATTTAATATTGTCTTTCAGAGAATGCTCAGACACCATACAGTGCTACAATTGTGATAAATGATGTTGAATATGGTACAGGGTTTGCTGGGAGCAAGAAAGCAGCCAAAATGGAAGCTGGTAAATATTATTAACTAATAGACTTATATTTCAATTTATCTAAAATGAGCAACCCCAGGTGTGCCATTCTTTTTATCTTTATTATGATCATTAAAACTTGTAATACATTTTTACACTCAGTAGATATGCTAATCCCTTTTTAACTCAAAATCTGATCAAAATGACAAAACAATTTGTTGTAATCCCTTCTTCATCAAACCAGCAACTTTTCAGCACTCCCTTATTGCAGATGCAGTTGTCTCTAATAAATATGAACTTTTGGCACTGTATTAATTTATACTGTTTCTTTTATAGCCAAAGCCACGTTGAAAGTGTTGATACCTGAGATGAATAAAATGACTGAAGATAATAAAAATTATGAATCTGAGGATCTTTCAGTAAGTGAATTTTCTTTTTTGCTGCACATTTTCTTTACTCATGTCTACTTTGGATTAAAATTTTTTTCTTTCAGTTTTTTTTTTTTTTTTTAATTCATAAGTATTTTATTTTTTGTTTTCAGTTTTTTGATGAGATCAAAATTGAAGATCCACGTGTGTATGAATTGTGTAACAAGGCAGGGCAGCCAACACCTTACCAAATATTGTTAGAATGTCTGCGTAGGTGAGTTTAAGTTCAGAATGTTAAACTTAACATGATATGTTTTTGGTACACTAAAAGTAGAATGCTTTACTGACCCATTTATCTCCTGATCACTCAAGAGGACATTTTAAAATGATTCTTTTAGTGCTTTTCTCACTCTCTGAGATAGCACCCAAAATGATACCTGATATGTCCTGGAAAGGGATATATTTGATCAAAGTAGCTAAGTGGCTTAGGCTACTGTAACCGAGTAGAACAATTTAGCAGGTAGCAGTAATGGAACTGGTACTTGTCATAGTTGCGGTCAATAGGTGTAGGCAATAGGCGTAGACCAATAGGATAGCCAATGGCGTAGTCCAATGGGCGTCGACCTGTACCTGTACATCAGCTTGTATTTATGGCTGACACCAGCCAATCATATTCTGGTGAGGGGGAACACAGGTGTATCCATGTTCATTACATCACCTCCCCCTGAGCTAAATTTTCTCTTTTTAGGGTACGGACTTAATCAATTGACTTTTTTCTAAGTCTTTTTCACCTCAATCCTCCTTGCAGTGATGGCGTTTGACACACTGGTACCACTGGCCTTGAGGTCGGGGATACCTCCATTGGCGAATGTTGACTTACTGGAATGGGAATTTGAAATGCGTCATACAAGACTTCCATTGGAATCTCTTTGGTATTTTCCGCGACCTCTGTAGTGTGTCTGGGTCTCAATTGATTCCAATGTCTTTTGCACAGAAATTTTTCCCCTTTTATATCCTATATGACCTGACCAATTCTTTTGGTTATCACTCCTTCTTCCCAAAACGTTTTTCCAGTCCTAAAATTCTTGAAAAAAAACTTTATCACCTGGCTTATATGCTTTAGTCATCTGGTTTTCTTTTCTAGCAGTTTTCTTCGCCGGACTAGGCAACAGCCTGTCGAACACAGAGCATATTTTTCTCGCAAACATTAACTCTGCTGGCAATAACCCTGACGTTGTACTTGGGTTTGGCGTGATTCTATATACTGCCAAAAATTTTTGAATACTTCTTTCATTCGTGTCCACGCCTTGATATTTCTTCAACAATTGCTTAAAGGTGTCCACGAATTTTTCCGCCTGTCCATTCGATCTTGGATGATATACTGGTATTGTCACATGATCAATGGACAATGATATACAGAATTCCTTGAATTCTCTTCCCGCAAACTGTGTTCCATTGTCGCTGACTAAAGTTTTAGGGAGTCCAAAGTGACTAAAAATTTCATTAAGCGCTTTTATTGTATTTGTTGCAGTCGGATATCTGTACTTAACATTTTTTGGCCACTTAGTGAAACTGTCTACAATAATCAGGTAATAAGATCCATTTATGGGCCCTGCATAGTCGATATGCAATCGAGTCCATGGTTCATCTGTCTTTGGCCATGGTTAAATCTTTACCGGTGGATCCCTTGCTGCCAGTTGACATCCTCTGCACTGTTTCACCAAATTTTCTATGTCTTGGTCCATCCTCGGCCAATATGTATAGCCTCTCATTAGAGATTTCATTCTTGAAATCCCCGGATGGCCAGTGTGGAATTCTTTCAGCATTTTCTTTTGTAGAGTAACCAGCATTACAACCCTATCTGCATATAGTAATACCTGTTCGCAAATTGAAAAAGGGGACACTCATTCCTTTTTTTAGTTCTCTCGTTCAACCAGACTTGCTTTTTCATTTTTTTAATGAAATCATTGTTCTCTGATGCTTTTTTCACATCTTCTAGAGTAACCGGTAGTTCTCTAATAGTGTTGCATAACAGACCTGACAATTCACTTTCGGCTCTTAGCGCCGCTATTACTGTTTCTTCCAGTGGTTCCGTATATTTAAGTATCAATCTTGATAACCCATCGGCATGACCTAGCTTCTTTGAAGGCACATATTCCATTTTGAAATTATAATTCAATAGAATTATACCCCAACGTTGTAGTTGATTTGCCGTGTGGGTTGGTATTCCTTTTTTTTTTTTTTTAACCAAATATTGTTAACAGTGGTTTGTGGTCTGTTTGCAGAATAAATTCTCTTCCATATAGAAACCTGTGAAATTTTTTTACAGTGTTGATTATTGCTAAACTCTCTTTTTCGATTTGACTGTAACTTCGTTCTGCGGGCAGTAACGTTCTCGAGGCATGTGCTATTGGCTTCGTAGATCCATCCTCGAATTTATGAAGCAATACCGCACATAGTCCCTCATTACTGGCATCTGCTGCTACAGTGATTTTCCTCTTTGGGTCGAAATGCACCAATGATAGGTTTTTATTTTTTTTAAAAGCATCTTCGCATTCTTTTGATCATATCCACTTTGTGCCCTTTTTCAGCAAATTATTTAAAGGAGCTCTCATATACATTTTTGGGATATAAATGCTATAATAACTTACCAAGAACACCTGGAGTTTAGCCACATTATTAGGTGCTGGCATATTTTTTATAGCCTCAGCCCTTTCTGGATCTGGTTTTCTTCCTTTACTGTCAATGGTCTGCTCTAAATATTTTATCTTCTTTAAGAAGCACTCACATTTTTCAGCACTTAGCATGAACCCATATTCCTCAATTCTCTGAAATACTGCTTTAATATGTGTTTTGTGTTGGGCCTCGTTTTCACTTTTAATCAAAATATCATCTAAGTATGCGATTGCATACTCCATACCAGCCAACATTGTGTCCATCACTTGCTGGAATAGGCTTGGAGCTACCTTCAACCCAACAGGGAGACAATTTAGTTTAAAAATCCCTTTATGTGTGTTTATAGTCAGGTACTTCGAACATTCTTCACTGACTTTAACCTGAAGGTAAGCCTCTGACAAGTCCAACTTTAAAAACACTCTACCTCCGTTTAATTTAGTGAATTTATCCTTCGGAGATGGTAGAGGTTACGCATGGTCTTTCAAACGGTCATTTAAATATGTCGAGAAGTCAGCACACACTCTGATTTATCAGTTTTTCTTTTTTATATATACGGTTGGAGACACCCAATCCGAGTAATCAACTTTTGAAATTACGCCAATTTTCTCCAACCTTTCTAATTCCTCATTTATTGTGTCTAGTGCCAAAAATGGTACTTTTCTCTTTAGTTTAAAGATTGGTTTAACATTTTCTTTCAATTCGAAGTTGACTTCTATTTTTGTGCACAGACTTAGTCCTTCTGAAAAGACGTGGGGGAATTCGCTTTTCAAATCTGTAATAAATCTTTCTGTTTGCTTTGTCTTATAGTTCTCTATGACATTAACTTTGTTACAGAAAGAATTCACCAGTAATTCCCACAAATTAAACAATACGATCCAGTCTGTACCAAAGAGGTTTACTGAACCAGAGAGCACATACACTTTTGATTTGTGAATTTTTTCCCTGAACGAAATGTTACATTTTAATTCACCTCTAAACTTAAGTATTTTTCCTGACACTCCTCTGGCAATTTTCTCTGTTTTAGTCAACGATTTTTTTCCATATTTACTTGTTTATTGCCGAGATATCACTTCCTGAATCGAGTAATGATTTTACGGTCTGCCCATTTATTTTTACATTTAGGTATTTTCTTCTTTGACCCTCCTCAATTTCGTTTTTAGACAAAACAATGTTCTCGTTTGTTTGATTTTACATTTCTCTGTTTTGCCCAACGATGGGAACTTTTATGGCCTATATGCTCACAATCAAAACATTTTTTATCTCTAAAGAAACAATCCTTCTTTATATGCTGTCCTCCACATGAACTGCATATAATTTTTCTTTCTTTATTTTGTATCCCCTTCTGTTGTCTTACAGTTTGTACTCGCGAAATGTTCTTCTCCTCAATCCGAGTATTGTCTTTTTTGTTTATAATTTGCTGACATTCTTTTGTTGCTTTTTGTAGCGTAATTTTCTGATCTTGTTCCATGATAGTGAGGATTCTTGATCTAATTTCTTTGTCCTTAGGTGTTAGACCTTGCACAAAAATTAGACACTTGAATATGTCGCTTGACAATTCCTTTAATTTAAATGCCTCACACTGTGTGTTAACCATACCTGCATACGTGACAAAATCATCATCCTCTTGTTTTACGATATTTAGACACTTGTATCAAGTATGAAACAGACTATCTCTTTTATTGTAAATTTTCGACAAAATTTCTACTATTTTGCCGAATGTAATTTCTTCTGGCTTCTTTGGGAGGATTAAATTCGTGTATTTTGTATTTTCTTCTGTTCCCAACTTCTGCAACAATAGTGATTTTTTTTTTTTTTTTTTCCTTGTCCGACCATTGTTTGCATCTTTTCATAAATATTGTTTCAAACCTACAAAAATAAGCCGGAAATGTTGAACCACTGTCGACATCGGATTTAAATTCAGAGAGTGAATTTGAAATTTCTTCAGCAGAAAAAATCTAGAACCCGTCTTCCCAAAGTAATTTATTGTTTTTTGCCTGTTGTTCGAATAACTTTTCAAACCTTTCTTGTTGCTGAATATATTGTTGTTGTTGGAACTGTTGCTGTAAAGTGACTTGTAGCACCTTAAGTTAATTCCGCAATTTGTTCCATTCCGCCAATGTATTCACAAGAAAAAATTTTGCTCCAGTAGACAATAAAAATTTTAAGTCCAAACAAGAGGGGGGGGGCAATTTCTTACTTTCTGTAAGCGTTGCACAAGTTTTCACTTTTCTTAGGTTTTGTTAGGTTAATGTTTTACCACAGTATACATATACAATTCATAGTGTAGCCATAATTTGAATGATAACTTTCTTTTAACAAACCCAGCACTAATCTTTGTAAAATAAACTTTATAGTCAATACCAATGTCAGTGGTGTTTTAAGAGCCTCTCTTGGTCAACATTCAAAGGCAATATTTGCATTTGTTCTTCATTCAAAGATAGTATTTGCATTTTATTGGCCATCTAGCCAATAAAATTGGTTTAACCAGATTTTGTAAGCACCTAGAGCTAAGTCTTAAATTATTAAGATGATTAATCAATTAAAGTGCTTCAATTCATTCAGCCAACATTAATTTTATTGAACAATATATTTACTGTTTTGTTCTACTGTCTTCTACCATCTTTTAGACAACTTCATCATTCAATCCCCACAAAATCTTTTATCTTCTCAACAAACAATTATCTTGAAATTTTCAATTTTTTTTATTAAAACAATTCTGTAAGGATTAGAACTAATGGTAATCTGAAGGTGCATATTGTGGAGTGAAAACTTCTCAAATAAATTGTAACAGTTTTTGACTGGTTAACAAAAATTTAATCAAATGTTCTTCTGGCAGAATATTATGCCCTTTCTCTGAGCTAATTTCAAATGATTTTCATTGATTGCTTCCTTCAATTGATGTAATAGGAAGCAGTACATCTTCTAACCTATTGCTTAGTTCTCTAGAATGAACTAGTAGAAAACTCCTTTATAATCCCATCATATGCACACCATCACATTCACTGAAGAAATCTGGGCCATAGTAGTTCATTTTGTTTGCCCAAGACTAATTTTCATTGCTCATCACAATTTATTTAAAAAAATTAGATCATTTAATTATGCTTAGGGTTTTTTTTTCTCCACACACTTAAATTATATCAGAGTAACAAATATAACCAAACTGGTGCAAATGATTTTCAGTGCTTCATTTAAATATTTTGAGTTTGGTGGTTATGTTAAGTATTTTTGGTTGTTATCACTAGCAATCTTAACTGATCTACCTGGACATGGAACATCATTCAACTGGAAACAACACTTTGCAAACCACTTTTTATATGTTTGATTATCTGTAGTCCCTACTCATGAACTTCAAAAGTAGTTTTTCCTATTTAAGTCATATTTTCACTTTTTGTAAAAAGTACAGATTTGATAAGGTTATTCTGAAAATGTTTCTTATTTTCTTCTATCTTCAATGTTAGTATTAATAGACAAAATTATGCCAATTTTGACAATCTTTTTACACACAAGTGAAGTTAGATAAACATTCCAAATGCCATCTAATAAAAACAAAATATTGAATATAATAATCCAGCAAAATTATTTACGTGTCTCCCTCCTTAGAAAATGTTTTTTATTTTACAATTCTTATAATTTTTACTTTTCAGGAATTATGGAATGGGAGATACACAGTGTCAGATGGATATGAAGACTCTGAAACATCAGAAGAGTGAATTTACAATGACTGTAGGAAAACATAAGGCTTCGGTTAGCCACTACATTTCTTCGTTAGTTTTTGATCAAAACATATAAATAAGAGGAAAACTAAAACAAGTAATTTTTAATAATACCATTTACATAAAAGATGACCAACTTAGTAGTGAGAAAAAAGCAAGGCGGAGAAAAATTTATAAAAATAAATGAATAAGAACAATACTTCATTTCAGACAAAAGGAAGCAGAGTAATTTAACAAATTGAATATCGTCTAAATAAATATTTTTTTCTCTGAAAATGGGTTAAACATAATTAGTCTTGATTATATTTTCTCTTTCAGGTTGTGTGTAAAAACAAACGAGAAGGTAAACAGCAAGCAGCACAGGCTATTTTACAAGTGAGTTTTTCTGATACTTGTCAATTTCTATTTGAAGAATAAGGTTTTTTACTCTCTATTCGCTATCCTTAATAAATGAAATTCTAAGGGAAATATTTCTACTGTCAAAGAATATATCATCTATTTGCATCTTAAGGTGGATGCGCGCCCCATAGACTAGTGAAAGCCATAACAAATTTTAACACCACTTGGAGCAATTATCCCTTCATATATTAAAAATTCAGACAACCTGGTCAAAAAAACTAAGGGAGATAAATATGACAGATAAACTCATGGTTAGTTTAGATCCCTTTATACCAACATCTGTCAACAAATTCTTGAATTTGAAAAAAAAAAAAAAACATCTAGTACAATTAAAAATTATAAAAAATTGCAAATTCATCACAAACGTTATTTCACTTTTAACAATGATTTTTATAAGCATATATTCACATTACTAATAAGATCACCTCTTAGAGTTTTAACTTATCCTTAGAATTTTTTGAATCTGGTCCCTTCCAAAATATTTTGCAATCAATATATTTCCAATTAACATATTAATGATGCATTATTAATATATCCCCACAAAACAATATTACCCGATCTTGTAAATAAACAATACAGAATATACAATAAAATTTACTTAGGAAACAGAAACAAACAATACATTATCTTTCTTTGATGTTATGTTAAACCTTACTGATAATGATCAGTACCTATTATATTATCACTAAGTATCTATTGTAAATCTACTAATAAAAATAATCTATAATATTCTATAAAAATAATCTTCTATTACACTATAATGATAAAATAAAACCTGGAATAATTATCAGGTTCTGTTTATAGCCCTCACTGTTTACATGATGTGAAGAAATATATTGAAAATATTTAAGCTCCTTTAATATTCTAATTATTTCATATTTAATGCGAAACAGAAAGTTTTTGTTAAATTTATAAAAATAAGAGAATGAATAATATTAATAAACTTGATTATGCTAGTGTGATAATACTATGCAGACAAGTCTAAATTAATCCTCACTAAACCATAGGGAGGTTAAGTTGTGTTGTGAACTTTCTCTCATTCTGTCTGTGGCAATAACCCTGTCTCTCTCTGTGGCAAACTTCTAACTGTCGGTATGATTCAGCTAAAAGTAGTTAGGCAAAAGCCTGTGGAATCCAAAAGAATTGTCTCCTCTAGAAACTATGTTGCGTGGTTGCTAAATAACTCTTATCATACATGTGTAGTCACCTGATTTAATATTCAAAGTTGCATGCATTGAAATGCAATAAGTTAGTTGGGGCAATGAAACACGAGGATGTCAGACCTTCTATGAGATTGTCATGTAAGTGGAATCACCAAAATGAAGAAAACGGATTCTATCCCCAGCTCACACAGTTAAGAGAACACTTATATGATCAAATAGACCTATGATGATCAATATGATAAAGATCATTTCTAAATGGAAAGGAATCAACCTTATGCAAATGAATCAGAAGGTGAAATGACCACCGCTTGGAGTGGAATACTGTCAATGGAAAAAATATGGGAGAAAGAATAACTCAATGATAGAACATTTTGCACGTGTGAAGGGGAAAGAAAAGTAACAAAGACGAAGACAAAATAAGTTATAAGAAGAAAAGAAAAGCCAAAGCCCTGAAAATATAAAAGTTACTCCCACAAGAAAATAAGATGTTAAATATTATATACATTTAAAAAAAAAAAAAAGATAAAGGAGAAAGATATAACAAGAGAGAAAAGGAAATAAAGAGAAAAATAAATGTATTTAATTGAAAAAAAAGCTAAGTTTTTTTTTGTACTCATATTGTACACACCACATGCATTTCTACATTAAGATATTCTTTCTTTCAAGTTATTTTATGTATAATTAAAATTTTGTTGCACTTTATATTTGTGTTTGTGGTTTGTCTCTGTTGGTCTTCCTTATCCATGTGTTTTTGTCCCTGTGAGAGAAAATACACTATCATAGTGCAATCCAGGTCATATCTTTGTCAGTTGATTTACTTTATTTTTATTTGTCTCACCTTTTTCTTATTTACATTGCAGTGCTGGTAAGTCATAACATTAGACACATTATACTACCTACTAACTTTATCACAAGTTTAAAAGAAGTTATCTAATATAAAATTAGTTACATCTATTTCTAAAACAATAAGAGACTTATAACAAAATAACATCATAAAATCTGCAGCAGATTGTACATTGTAATAAATGTCACAAAAAATATGTTGGTGAGGCTTTGAGAAATTTAAAGAAAGGATTATATGAATGCAAAGGGGACTATAATTTCAACTTGATGCTTCTTTACTTAAATAAGAAACTAATTTACTAATTCAAAAATGCAGAGAATGTGTTCTGATTTTTGAGTCTTCCACAGTAAATTTGCATCTGGGTTCTTACAGTTCACCTTCCTTAACAAATCTTCTGTTGTTACAATGTAGAATATTTAAAAACAAAGGTATCAAGAAACTAGATAAAATCTGTCTATATTTCTGAGATGAGGTATTATGTACAGTATTTACATTAGTCGGACTATTGTCCTCATCTTTGTCGCCATATTTGTCACAACGTTTCGGCTGTTGTACGCTCCGGCCTTCTTCAGGTGGTTGGAATTTTGAACTGAACCCTTTATTTCGATCGCTGGGGTAGACTGTTCTAATTCCACGTGCCATGTTTGATGGATGTCAGTTTATCAGTTATCTCCTGCTAATTTTCCCTCTGAAAGTTCTCCACTGCCTTAACCAGGAATTGAACTCACCTTCTTTGGGTCTGTCACTGGATCTAACCAACGCCTTTATCCACTGTGCCATGTGTCATCCATCAAACATGGCACGTGGAATTAGAACAGTCTACCCCAGCGATCGAAATAAAGGGTTCAGTTCGAAATTCCAACCACCTGAAGAAGGCCGGAGCGTACAACGGCCGAAACGTTGTGACAAATATGGCGACAAAGATGAGGACAATAGTCCAACTAATGTAAATACTGTAGATAAAATCTGCTCAGCATTTGCATCTTGTCATGTTGAATTTTTTTTTTTAAATTTGGAATCCTTACATCTGTGTTTTCTTATCAATGTTTTTGTTTATATTTTCCCACCAATTGTTACATATATATATAATTCTATCAAAGAGAACATTATTTTAGTGCGATAAAATCTTTTTAAAGGACTTAATGCATTACATAAGTTTTTTTTTTTTTTTTTTTTTTTTCCATTTTGTCAATTGATTACCTAACATGATATATTTCAATAACAAATTTGATGAATTGATAATGTTCTAGTACATATGCACCTCATGTCCACATACACATCAATCTACTTGTCAATTTTAACCACCTTGCATTATTTAGTGATCCAATTTTCTAAGCAGTAAATCTAGATTTAACTTCAATTCTGACATTTCTTCAGACATACTCTAAAAGAAGCCTCTGGTCAACACTTAAATCATCCATTGTCCTCAAAGTATGTTCCATGTCATCTAGGGTAGTGCTTCTCAACCATGGACCATTTTTTTTCTTCAAAACCATGGACCATACTTTCTTTTTTTTTTTGTAGATGCATTTTTGTTAAATGGCTATAATTTTTTTATGGCTACAAATTCTCTGTAGGCTACTAGAAATGCTATATGGACCACCAGTGGTCCACCTGGACCTCGTTGAGAATCACTGATCTAGAGGAACTGTGAGATTGATAAATTCTTTTTGGGGAAAATCTTGATAGTTATTTTCACATATACCCTATTGGACCTGTAAAAGTAGCTGGGGTTTTTGTTGTACCATCAATATACAGCTCTGAATGGGAGCAACCAACTGTGTGTAACTTTTGTTCAAGTTTCTTCTCCAAAACTGTTACAATGTCTAAATAGCCAATATTTGTACTGGTGTTGTCCAGAAGAACAGCCTTAAGGATATCTAGTGTTGAATTCTTCTAACATACAAATTCTTTAGAAAGAACAATACCCTAAGAATTTCTCTGAGTGGGATATTTTCCACTTTTCATTCCTATTTCTTGGTGTATTTTTGTCTGTTTCCTTTATTCAGTTTAATGTCACTATTTTCCCCTATAATTTCTCTGTACAACTGTAGTGAACGAGATAATCAAGTACCCCGGAAAAAAGTTTGTGTTTTGTGTGCGATCTGCCGGGGAGGGATTGCCAAAAAGTAGTCAGCAAAACTCTTATAGCGACTTACCTCGTCAACCCAAGCGACAGCACGTCGTGTATTCTGGGACAAAAAAGAAACAAGTCCGTCACAGGAGTCGCTATAAGAGGATATTAATATGCAAATTACGGAGCATCCTATCCCGGCTGTCGACGAATGGAAAAAATAGGTTCCACCGATAAAAGCAGTTGGTGTTGTCGACTTGGGAGGAAAAAATTCGGGCAGTTTTGGCTATGGCGTTCGTGAGTTATTTTCCTGACGTGTTACAAGTGATTTTCTTTCGTTGTGTTGTGAAAGCCACAAATTTGCTTTGAGAACGCTTACACTTCAAGCTATTTCAGCACTCTTACGGGGAAGGCTAGGATACGTACAAAGGCTGCGAGCGAGATGCTCATTCGAAGGAGGCTAGACACACTGGGAAAGTTGGTAAGTGAATACCACTTATCCGTAGACATACAGCTGGTCAGATCACAGCAGAACAAGGCCGATACTTTAACAAGGGTACCCCAAAAATGGCTTGACGCTATTAAGAAAGCTTTAGAGCCGGTAGAACATGTCTGTGTAACATCATGAGCAACTATAACTCAGATTTACTAAAATCTGTGCATTGCCAAAGCGGACATCCCGTGTAAAACGGACCTTATATTTCGTGGAGGCAGATTTGTCCCTCCGTATCCAAAGCTGCTGTCAGGGAAGTGGTCAGACGATGCAAGGAGTGTCAGTCCATCGACCCAGCACCTGTGCAATGGCAAAAAGGACAAGTGAGTGTAAGCAAGTTGTGGCACCGTGTTGGAATGGACATCACCCATTATAACGGACATCACTATTTAACCCTGATTGATTGTGGCCCAACCCGGTTCACTATTTGGCGGACCACTTGGGGTCATTGTTCTTTGAACATGGACCGAACAGGATTCCGCAGTGGACTATTCAAAGATTTTGGGTGGGAGTACAGCGTCCCATCAGGATTGACCACTTGGGGTCATTGTTCTTTGAACATGGACCTCCAAAGTCCGGCTCACGGAACGCAACGGAATGCTCAACTGAACGGATAACGAACGAAGCGCCGCTGACTTGGGCTGCATTCCACATAGCGTGTACAACCTGGACTATTCAAAACTCGATTTTGTGGCTTCACTAGTAGTGGGAGTGAACAAATAATTACACCACCCCTTCAGATGGTGAAGACTCAGATTTCGGTTGTCAGATCAGAAGAAACCTCAGAACATAACACACAATCTCCTCCAACGAGTCGCCCCGCCCCGATGTCCCATCAGGGAATGGCATAATCGATAATCAGGCACCCGGAAAAAAGTTTGTCATCGGAAAAAACTCTTATAGCGACTTACATCTCGTCAACCCAAGCGACAGCATCAAAAGAATCCTATCCGCTGTCTGGAAAAAAAATAGGTTCTGCGAAAAAGCAGTGTTCCATAATGGAATTGTCCCATCAACTCCAATACAAATAAGTTTTTGGTTTCATTTGTTCTCTATTGGTACAATGTTATATCAATTTTTTTAAATCAGATCAGATCAATAATGTATGCAAAAAATTGCTGCAGAAACACAACCAAGTTTGTTCTGTTCCATCAGGGAATGTGACACAAGCTCTTAGCAATCTCTTCTGTGGAAATCTTCCATTTACTCTCCACACTGGCAAGCAGAGTGTCTTCATTGACATCTGAAGTTTGCCTGGGATATGGTTGATCGTTTAGGTTACAATCACCCTGACAAAATCTGCCAAACAACTTTTTGACTGTCTGAAGAGCATGATACAAATAAACTTTCTGAATGCTTTTTGTTAGAGTTCCAACACTTACTCCTTTCATAGAGCATAATATGGCAAAAGTGCAACTTTAAATTCTCCATCTTTAAGATATTTATTTGTGGACAAAACGTCAATATTCAACAAAGTCTGACTCGCAACTGAATGATGCATGGTTTAAATCTAGAACACTCCAGAAATCGTCACCTAGAACAAACACCAGTGTCAAGTTACATTCATTTTATATTAACAATGAAAATCGAGCACAAAATTTTGCAGATTAAGCACATGTTTAATTAATAACAGGTCTAATATACAAAATAAATCTCTGAAAAATAGTGAAGTAGTGTTCATTCCTTGCCAAATCCTAGTTACATATTTTATTATAATTTTAGCAATATCCTAATAATTTTTCTTTGTGTTATCTAACAGCTGACCATCAAATAATTTTTTTTACTTCATGTAAAAAATACAGCAGATTTTCAGTCATTTTTATTCAACATTTCAGAAAAAGTACAACTGTCAGAAATTATAATAAATTAACCCTATTTTAATGCACATTTACAAGTAAAATCATTATTAAAAATAAGCAGTTAGCATTATTTACATTACTATACTTGTAATTTACAGATGTCAATACAAACAATCATAAAATCACTTTCAGTAAACAGTTTTTTAAAAGGAAATTGATATACTTTTTCCCAAAATAAAATTGTTGTTTAAAATAAATATGTATTTATGATGTATAATAAGGTTTACAAAGCTCATTATCAAAAACATTTCTTTTTAGAATTTATTTTAAATAGTAGTGTTTACTTGATCTTAAAATTGTCTACAATTTGAATGTCATTTATGCTTTTTTTAATAACATATAATCTGTATGTATATTTTATTTCTTTTTGATATTTTAAAAACAAATATTAAACATTTGCTTTAGATTCATTTACTTTTTTTTTTCTTTTTACAAGAGCATGGAATATTTTGGCTTTGTTATCATTTTAGGTAACACTGTAGAAGTGTTGAAAAAGTCAAACATTTCAGTTTTTAAATTGATTTCCTCAAATTACACTAGAAGTTACTTTTTATTATATTATATCCCAACAATCTAAACTTGTCCAAAACTATTGTTCTGAAACCAGCATAAACTATTGTACATATATGAACAGTATATATCAACACAGAATTTCTTACAACATAAGCTTTGTGTTAGTCACAATATCCTATTTATATGAATTCACTTTCTTAATAGAGAAAAGCATAGAAAGTAACAAACCATTTTTTAATAGGGTTGTATGATTTTTTTTAAAAGCCATTTATAATTTTTACATATTTCAGAGCCGCTTATCAATTATCTGCTAAAAGGGAGAAATACTCTTGGGTGTAAGCTTTGGATAATGGCATCTGTAAATTAAAGTATTTCACAGGATCTATCAAAATTTAATTTGTAAAAATATATTTTCAAATTTGTAAAGCCCTTTTATGTGTAAATTGTGTTTGTTGCAGAATTTCTTTGACATTATTTTGCATATTAACTAACAATGTGTACTCTATTTGAAGCGTCTCCACCCACATATCACTAGTTGGGGTTCATTGTTGCGACTCTATGGGAGAATTTCCTTCAAGATTATAAGAGAAAAAAAGGTAAAGACATTTTTTAATTATGCAAATAAAAAAAAAATAGGTTAAGATCCTGTAGTGTTAGAATATGAATAAATTATGTTTTTAATGCATTCTTTTTCAGATCTTTTGTCATTTGTCAAACATACAGATAGCTAAATAATTTATAATTATTTTAATTTTATAGGTATATTTAGTAAGTATGAAAGAATTTCTAGAAGTTTACTTTGAAAGCCTATATCTGTTCATAACTGTATCCTAGCTTCATCCAGTGGTCATTTAATAAAAATGAGTATATTCATATGCAGGAATCCCTTGATTAGTATGGCTAATGTGTACATTAAAAACTACACACTAATTGAAAACAAACAAAATAGTTACCCATTTTTAAATTTTAGAAAATTTTTAATTAGTTGATAACTATAAAAAAAATCAATTTTCAATTATTATGGTTAAACTGAAGGATGTTTTACTACATTAATCGAGTATTATGCATGCATTAATCGAATTTTGATATAAAAAATTTCAGCACACTAATCAAAAATGCAATAATCAAGGGATTCCTGTACTTTTCTCTTGTCTTTGTTGGTTTTTTTTTTTTAAGCTGATCAAAAGATTACTGAGTTACTTTGAAATATGATGAGAAGATAATCTAATAGTTGTACTATCAGGAAATAACATCTTTGTGGTTAGAGCTATATTACCTTTTGGCTAAACTGTTTTTGCCAACAGTAATAAAGTTGTCAATTATGACTGAGCTAAAGAATTGACTGCTGTTATGAATGATCTTTCTGTTCCAGGCAAGCAACAGTAACCACTGAAACAAGCAAAAATTGTTTTCTATCAGCAAGACAAAAGTATATTGTTTTTGATTCAGAGGATGCCCCTTTCTTATATACCTACAACTAAATTAATATTCTGAATAAAACAATTGGCCATTTTCCTTCACTATTCATTTATTTAATTGCTCTCTATAGAAGTTCTAATGTTCACAATTTTACTTGTGCCAATATTAAAATAAGGGATTTTAATATTAGTAAGAAGTAAACAACTCCTGGATAGACTCGTTGCTTTATTCACAATGTGTGCAGAAATACACACAGCACATACCATAATAATCAGAGATTTCTACCCTCACTGAAGAGTTCCTAAAAGGCGACATAAGTCCAAAGGGACAGTGAAAGGCTGTAACTTAATTAACCAATGCTAATATTGCTGCAACCTTTTTTTTTCTTTTCTCTCCTTTTTGTGTGTGTGTGTGTATCACTGTTTTCAGAAAACCAGGATAAAGGAGAAAAACACACAAAACAAGCAGATCCAGTCAGTACATAGTCCTTAAGGTATTTTGGGAAATGTCAGTTGCACACAGGATACCTGGGCTGGTCTTGTTTTTTTGGGTTTTTGTCAGGTAACTTCCTCCTTATTTTGGACTGGATCATTATCCACTCCAAGAGCAAAGGAGTTTCAGTTGATTCAAGATTGTACCTGGCTGGCTCAGACAAGATTGGTAATATATCAAGAGGATCAGTAGTAGATTGTTGGAGGTCTTCCAACTCCTCATCAAAGTTCCCTAAAGAACCAGTAGTTTTAGGTAGTGCAATGTCACACAGAATGCAATAGCACTCTTGTCTCCTTCACCTTATATGAGCTATAGCACAAATCTGTCTTCCAGAGAACTTCTTGATGAAGTACCACTCACCATCAATTGATGTGATGATGTAGCAGCTCCATGCTTTTGACTTGTAGCGCTCACTGTACAGGTTTGAGATCACCAAAGTGCAATGGCAGTACTTGAGACCTTTTGTTGTTTTTCCATTTTGAAAATGAACTGACAACATGGTTGGACTCACGGAGGGCATGTTTTGCCATTAATACTTCTAGATCCGATATGGGAATCTGATCATTCATGAACTGACTTTATTGAGTCCATAGTTTGTGAGCAGACAGTCCTGTGAAACAAATATGGGACAGCCTTGTTCATTTGGCATTGGAGCTTGGAACACTCTGGGGTATTGTGACTTGCAAAATCCGATGGTGTGTTGGCTGCACATTTTTAAAACACAATTTAAAAGGCCTCCATTTGATAAAATTTACCAACTTTACAATGTCACTCATAATTGATTGTAACTCTTGATCTTGTTTTTTAAACTTAAGCCTCATAATGTTAAAACAAAAGAAATGAACAGATACAATTTCAGTTTTTCTGCTTAACACCTACCACTAAACTTCATTTTGCCAGTCATAAATGCAGCTCCATCATACAGAACTACCTCAAATTTATAGACATTCAGAATATTAAAACAATTTTCACTGTGTTTATTTTTTGGAATTTCTTTGCAGTAGAAACTATTCTATAATCATTTTGTCATGAATGAAGCAAATAAATGTGATTTAGTGTTCTGTCAGTCTGAACAATTCATGACTTTTTTTTTTTTTTACATTATCCTCAATATTTAGAGATAAAATTGTTATCAGATAATGGAATATTAATTTCATTTTCATGTTCTGGGCCAAAAATTGTCTGAACTCTTTAACTTCTCCATTTGAAGAGTTAAAAATAACTATCGACATAAAAGTGCATTTTTTGTCAATTAGTGAACTGGGATAAAGCATTTTGTAGTGGCACTCTCATCTAGAGTCCACTGCAAGTGATGTGACTACAATCACTTAAAAAGGCAACTTCATGAACTAAAGTCCTCTCATTTATTCATGAAGTTGTAAGAATTTGTATTAGAGAAGAAAGATCAAACAAACAACACATGAAATGAAAACAAACATGAAATATATTTTAGGTAGCAAACAACTAAAATTTCTTCAGGTAAACATGCTGGTGATGTTCATTTCATGGATAAATGTATAGAAAATATGCTGCATTTTGTGTGGTTTGGTAAGTGAGGAAAGAAAATCTGAATGAATACAAAATTTATACTACTAACAAAGAAATATTAGTGATAATATTTCTGTGGTAACCAAGGAAACAAAAATGGAAAGGCAGTTAAAAATGTGGGAAGGGGAAAATTTCAAAGAGGGAGAAACAAAACTTTTAAGAAGCAACATGGTTTTTTCCCCTTGCCTCTTCCAATACAGCCATTCACTAAACACCTACTCAATTGACTCATCCTAACCCTGAATTCATTAGAAATGCATGGCAAACTATTTTCCAGTTAAATATTAATTTTAATACTCCAATTCACCAGGGTGTCACAACATGCAGGTTGAAAAGCACTGACTTAGACCAATAGTTAGCTTATTCACTTATAAAAAAAATACCAGATTGAACAACTCAAAAAAACTTCTCTTCAATTAGTAATTTCTGTACATGCATGGAATACAATGAATATGACCTGAATGCAATAAACACAATTGTTGAAGCTTTTGTTGAATATCAATGCACTGAGCCAAAATTGACAATTAATGACTGAGAGAGTAAATATATTGGGCTGATTTTAAAATCAGTACTCTGCCTTTATAATTGTCAGTTTTTTGGGGTTTTTTTTTTCTTTCAGGGTATATCAACTTGACAGTATGGGGTGTAGACTTACATTTTTTTTCCATCTGGTTTCAAATACTAGACTGTTAACACTGGAAGGAAAATTTGCAGTGATGTTTTTGTAAATTGCTTTCCTTTTATCCTTGCTCAGATATTATACAAATGAAAAAGATAACTGCAGAAATAATTCTTTCTATAAATAATATTGAGAAGCTATTTATAAAATATTAACCAAATCTGCAAATTTAATTTTGAAGCTTTTAGGCAATTTTCTAATATGTTTTAGATTCCATCTTTTAAAGACAAACAACCTTGTTTTAAAGCTATAGATTTTCATAAATTCTTATCTACCTCTACAAATAATTACATGATACACATTTGATTAATGGCTGTCTTTCTGTTTCAGGAAGAGGAGCAGAGCATAACTGAATTACAGTCTCAAGCCAAGTCCAACAAACCCAACACTGCTGTTCTTGAAAAACTAAGAGAAGAAATGCGCAAAATAAAATTACAAAGAGTAAATTCCAATTCTTCTTGCACTTTCTATTTGTGCTATTTCAGTTGTTACTATTACTATCTATGTAACACTATGAATCGTGCTTGAGTGGTGCGTTGTCTGTCAGGCACATAATGATTTGAGTTTCTTTCCACCTCTCTTTCTCTTTCAATCTCTGTGATTGCATGTGTGCTTATTTACTTATTTCAGCTTTCTTTAAACAAGCAATATTTTAAATATTTAAAAAATATTTTTTGCCTTACTTAAAAAATATTTTTGCTGATTTCCCAAAAATGTGGGAATGATTGCAAAAGTTTTCCTCCTCCCTCTCTTATAGTCAGAAGAACACAAAATGCAAGCTAGAATATTTTTCTTAGCCAATAAAATTTGACAGCTTTCGTTTTGGCATAACTCAGTCCAGATCTGCCTTAACTACTAGATAGACATACTGTGTTTGCTTGGTTGACCTTGCTTTTGTGTACCAACACCAACTCATAGTTTGTGAATTCTTTTGCCTTCTTACCAATTTTGATTTGCTTTAACTATATTGCTTGCATGATTGTTGCTGTTTCATCTTTTTGACCATTTTTCTTTTCATTGCAAACTATATTAATTCTGTTTGTGTTATTTATCTTGCATTTTGACAATGGCTTCTAACTCATCAATTTTCAAATGAATATGATTTAAAAATATTTTTTGGCATATTAAAAATATTTTTTAAGTTAATCCAATTTAAAAAAAAAATATTTCAAATAGTGTTATAGTGGAACACACCTATTCTATAGTTAATAGACTCTCCCACCTATAATAAGTAGCAGTCGCTAAGTCAGTTGGTCAGTCAGTCGGTCGATGCTGGACAATCGTTAGTCGGATACTAAAGTATCAGCGACCACGACTAGATTTCTATGCGTCATACCTATTATATGAAGTTCCTAACGTTTTGTATGTCGAACCTATTTTAGGACCGACTTAGTACAAATACTAGCCTCCACTGTGAAACCACTCTACAACAAGTAGTTATTTCCACAAGATCACTAAAAAAAATCAGCATGCCATGATCCAAACATAATGAAAACATAATTTTAGCATCAAAATCATTATGTTATTAAGAGGAAGGATCAAAGTATTTTTTGACTGTTTAATTTTCTACCCCTTTTTAGAACATCCAAATTTTGATTAAAAAACTTGTTTTTTTCTTGCATCAACAGTTGTAGTAACAAATTTTCACCTCTTTTTTGTGTTGATAAACACATTAATTTGGAAATTCTTGCAAAAATCAAATAATTGTCAGATTTTAACATTTTCAGGACTCATTCACAAATGAATGAAATAATTTTTTAAATTTTTTTCATTATAAAATCTTGCTAAAAATATATTTTTTCTTTTATATGTGTTTCTCCTCCTTAATTTTATGAAAGCTTGAGAAATTCATTGAGATAATTTTTAGTGACTATATTAGTTAAAAGCAGAAGTTTTTGAAGAATTTAAATCACCAAGTTTTTTTTCTTCAAAATCAGACCCAGTATTACCAAAAATTTATTCAGAATTGGAAAATAAAAACAATAAAACTAAGACATTATTTAATTAGAGAAATTTTTCTGAAGTATGGATATACAAACTGATAAATCTATCCTTAAAAGGTCACATATTTTAAGGGTTGTCCCCCTTATGGAAAAAAAAAAACAAACAAAACGCTCATGAAATTTGTCGTTTCCTATACAATGCTTAACTATAAATAGATTCAGCGGTCAATCTGTTGTCAATAAATTGATTAACACATCAGAAAAACAAAACCATGTGGTTAGGAAATGCTTGTATACAACATTTTATGCTAGGAGTAATATTTATTTCAAATCAAATTAACTTTAAATTTGCCAATTTTCTTCAAATAACATTTCAGAAATATATATTTTATTTTTGCAAGATTTTTAAAACGGAAAATAAGTTTTGTTTACAAATCTTTAAAAAATGGCTGATGTTATTGATTTTTACTGAAAAAAAAATGCAAGTCTATTCCAATCAATATAATTCATGTTCCTTAACTCTTGGTATCTTTTTGATTTCTTTGCAGTCCAATCTTGTATCATATAGAATAGGAAAGTCAATAATTTGACACTTGTTATTCTCCTTATCTATAACAATAAGGTTAGGTCTTCGTGCTTCAATGACATGATTTATCTGGCTGAAAAATCCCATATCTTCTTGTGACTGCCATTTTCTACTACTACTTTTGGCTGATGTTTATCATACCACTTCTCTTTTACACTGAAGCCAAACTTATGGCATACTTCCCAATGGATTCTTCTACCAGGCCAATAATGTTGCCACTTATACTCCTTCTGTGCCAATTTGGGGCATTCATCAAGTATGTGGTTAACTGTATCATCAGTTTGCACACACACATCCTGCATTTGTTTTCTTGTGATCTATCTATCCTGGCCTTGATTGTATTTATTCTGATGGCCTACTCCTGTGCTGCAAATAATTTTATTTATTTAATGTTTTTTTCTCCTCCTCTTTTGCTTATTTTTGTTGCTGGATTTTATGCTTCAAAAGAAACCTAACCAAAATATTATGATGTGAAGAATAAGATGATAATGTTAGTACAAGAAAGTCATTAAATTATAAAAAAATACTTTGTTTGGAATTTCAGGTTAAAATACTTGGAAAAAAACTGAATTTGTTACAAAGAATATAAAAATTTTAACTTAAATTTTGTCAAAATCCAGTTTAAATGTTATTCATTGTTTAGTATATAATGATCAAACAGCATAGATTTACTTTCAGAATTTTCCTTGATAAGATGTTATTTAATCAAAACCACTCAGTTGACTTCAAGAATGTTTTTGTTGCTGCTGAAACTGAAATAAAATTTTAATTCATTTTACTGAAAAGTTCCTTATTATCAACTTAGCATTTTGTTACATTCAGTTTACTCAAACAGAAAATGTCATTGCTTTAGTTCTCCTTATGCCAATTATATTAAAAAATGTTTTACTCTGATAGAATGCTAGGTCTTCTAATCTGAAAATAATGAGTTAATATTTTTTTCTGTACTAATTTCTAAAAACAAACTGTCCAATCAGTGACAGTGCTTGATAACTAATAATACACAATAAGTGCTTGAAAGTGTTGTTTCAAATATGTTTAATACTGAATGATTCTATGTTCAATCATGAAAATAGATTTTGTCTATATCTCTGAGATGAGGTATTATGATTACTTGCATTATTTACATTATTCGGACTGTTATACTCCTCTTCGTTGCCATATTCAATGCAATGATGATGAGGATAACAGTTCAAATAATGTAATTAATGCAAGTAAAATAGATTTTTATTTATTTTTATTAAGTATTTGGACAGATGATATTAATTTGCATTAACAACATTTCCTAAAATTTTAATTTCCAACATGGATTTCACATAAAACAAAAACATTCTTAGACTTCAAATTTTAGAGAGATTATAGAAGTAATTTAAACTTGGTTAAGATAAGATTCAAAGAATAATTTTTGTATAGTTCTAATGCCAAATTAAAATTCTTTAACTCGGATGAAAATAAAGTTTTTCTAGACTACATTCAACCTAATTTCAGATTTTTTTTAAATTTTACTTTCCATATTCTAACCTAAGCTCTAAAAGCAAATTGTTCAACTTGATTTTAATACAGTTTGGTTACTCTATCCATTTAATTTCCTTTTATCTTCTTGTCATTATTGGTATGACTTTAATTGTTTTCTTTCTCTTCTCTACAGGAATCTATCAAGTCAAGAGGCAAGCTACGACTAGAATCAGCCGTCCCTATAGGAAATGTTTCCGGTCTTGACCTCTAGCTTTTTGCAGCTATTGTGTTAGCAATTGAATCTCTTACATTTGCTTTTCTTTTTATGGCTTACAACCATTTTATTCAAAAGACTTGGAATAGGAACTTGTTTGTTTTCACTAATGAACCCTTTTCTAGCAGAAGGAAATTTGCCTGATCAGAAAACTGAACCAGTCCGTTACTCTTCCAAGCAGTTGACCGCTGGAGTAGTTGGACAGATGGATGGACATTCTTGTGATTGTTTTTTTTATTCTTATTTTCACTGACTCACACTTGGAAATTTCTGTTTATTTTTTTAAACTTAATGTTCTATTGAATGTCCTCTTTTTTTTTTTTTTTTTTTCACTTCTATCATAATTTGGCTCGCTCATTTATCTAAGACAACTTCCTTTCTGCAAAGAACATTATTTTTTAGAATTTGAGAATGTTGAAAATAGTTTAGATTTTAATTTTATGATAAACATGGAATTAAAATATATTTTTTTTATATTTGATATTTGTTCAAAAATAAAACAGTTCAAATTTACTCTGTTTTAGCTAATTCTTTTATACTTCTATATGAAATAAGCTATAAATGATCAAATTTAGATTCACTTCAGTCACACTTTGATACTTCCTCAAAAAAATTCGGCTTAAAGATATCAAAATAAATATTTAAAGAATTGATTTTCTTTAATATTTATTTTGATATTTTTTGAGTTTGAGTGTTTTTTTTTTCCTTGATTGAGCAAACCATCAATTTGTTTAGCAAAAACTTGTGATTTTGCAAATCTTTCATTTTTGTGGATTTGCAGATTTCAAGAGTAATTAAATAATGTTCAATGCATTAAGGAAACTGTTTAAATTTGTCTTGTTTTGATATGTTTTTTGAATGGTGAAAGTTTAATTTACAAATTTTAAAATAATCTTATCTATTTCTCATATAAAAAATATGCCATACTGGATAAGCGTTTATGTGAATTACTGAAGTTTTGGTCATATTCAAATTTTACTTTTATCTAAAAGGCCTTTTGTACTTTTACCAGCATTCTTAAGCAATCATAGTAATTTATTATCAAGTAGCCATAAGGCAAGTGAAAATTTGCTTTTATAATTTATAGATATATTGTGCATATATTGTAATCATTTTTATATAAGTTCTAATAAAGCTGGTATCTTCATTTGTTCATGAATGTTAGTTGAAAGAGACTTCAATTTAATTTTTGCTTTAATTAACAAATTTTCTCAGATGTTTTATACAAAAGTAAAAAATAAATTTAAAAAAATCAAATTATTAAAACCTATTTTCATTTTTTTTTTCCTAATGATTTCTTTGTTATAAACCAATGCTTCAATAATTCATACAGGAAATGTCATTTTAAAATATTTCCTTTATTTGAATCCTGTTGACTGCTGAAAACTACTAGATATTTTTTTAATGGGGATTAAGAATCTATTATGATACTATCCCCACTTCCAGTACATTTTACCCCTGTTGTCATTTCTTTTATTTTGTTGTTGTTGTTGTGTTCTACCTACAGATTTGCTAGCCTAGATGTGATAGTCCCATTGGACACTTTATATATCACTGATAACAGCAGGTAACACAACAAATTCCTATATCACTCAATATGGGACAGGGGAACATTCTTTGTATTATATTTTAAATAATAGTCTGCTTGCTTACCTCTGAAAACAATTTCCTGAATTTTTACAAGGTGAAGTGAAATACTCTTTTGGTTGGATATAAAAGGCTTAGTTGTAAATGTGGACAAATGCTAACAAAATTTTTTTTTTTTTTTTTTTTTTAAATCAGCAAATGCAATAACATTCCAGGCATTTTCAAAATGATTTTTTTTAAGTGTGGTAAGAAAGACTTAACATTTCTTCATAAAGAAAATGTTTTTCTTTACAATAAACTATGCAGTTCAGGTTTTAAAAGTAGTCTGTTACATCAGGCAATTTTCAGCCATCATGCTTTTCATAAAATAATTTTGATTACTATATTATTGCACTCAATTTGGAATTAGTGGTTTTTGATAAACAACCTATTTTTTCTTAATATAAACATGAATGGCTCAGTCATTTGCATCTTTTGGCAGATTCTTCATACCTTATGCATACTGCTGTCAATCTAGTGGAGCACTTTTAAAATCTAATACCCAAAATGATAAATATATACTTGAAAACAATCTGCTAGTGTTTGTCCATGCTTTATGACTAAATGTCTTAAAATCTTTGTGTGTTTATACAAAACAAAAAATTGCTGTTGGTATGTGATGAACGAATGCTCAACGGAAGAAATTTCATCTCTATTGTCCAAAGTACAAATATTTTACAGGAATTTTATGAGTAGATCATAGATGCTTGTTTTGTGTTTCAGATCAACTGAAATAGCATTTATTACTTTTTGTGATAATTCTTACATGACTTCATATTGCTAATATGCAATTCTTTAAATTTTGTACCATATCAATAGTATTTAGGTTTGAAGAAAACATCATACTTGGATCAATTTAAGAAATATTTTTAAAAATTGCCCCAATCGAATATCCAACTTTGAACTGTGCAGTCCTGTATACTTAATACAGATATTTCATGAGAAATTATTCTCATAGATTGTTTGGTTTGTAATTGTTGTGAATTTTGATGATATTTCTTGCTCTTGTGAAATTGTGTATTCATTACTTTTCTACAACTATTAAATGATTAATAAAACTTAAAAATAGTAATTTTGGAAATATGAGGTCATGTGAGATAATGCCATTTTTTTTGTTAAAATGTCAAAACATCAAATGTTTTAAAGACAAAGAAAGCAAGCTAGCAATGAAAACTAATTGTATCCTTTATTAATTTGAGGATAACTAGCTTGTTTGCTGAGTTCATCTTTTCTCATAATTGTGCAAAAAGCCAACTCCTGTGAGAAAAAAAAAAGATGACAGCTCAAACAAGTTTTTCAACAATGCAAAAGTTTTTTTTAACCAATTACCAAATGATTCCAGATGGCAAAAAAGAGACTTTCAAAGCTAGAAAAAAACTTTTATCAAATAACCACATACCAAAATGTGATTTAACAGCAAAATTTAAGTTTATATTTATGATTACATCATATTAAGTTCTCAACAAATGTTGTGGGAATCATGAAAGAAGCGCCTATTATTAAAGTCAACCTACTGATTTAAAAAAATGTTACCATGAATTTGAATTTTACTGTATTGGTATGTTTTCTGTGATGTCACAAGCAAATTAGTGTATTTAAAAAAAACATTAAAAAAGTTCTTTTCAAAACTGAAGTATAATTTTTTTAACTTCATTTGAAAATAAGATAAAAAAAGATTTCATTTTTTATTTTCATGTTATTTATAAAATGGCTAAATAAAAGCTATAATCACAGACAAAACAAATGTACATTTTAGAAAAAAAATAGTAAACTTATCCACACTTGAAATTTATTTCAATTATAGATTGATAATTTTTGTTCATCAGTCAATTTTTTTTTCTATAAAAAATGCATTTTTCTTTTTTTTTTTTTATAACTTTGTTCAAGAATAAATTTTAGGACTACATATAATTGAGAACTGACTCCAGTTAAATTTGAGGTTCTCTTCAGACTAGTCCCCTAATTATCAAGTAATAGATAATCTAAGTGGAAGCACTGTCTTCGTTTTCATATTCTCTGAGTGTTGTAGATTTTAAAAGTCTGACTATTGTGTCATGAAAACTTGGTGCAGTTTGACTTTTTGTACTAACATGGTATCACTGGTTCAACACTAGGATCATAGGACCTTATAGTCCTTTCTACTGAATTTATATATACATATATATATATATATATATATATATATATATATATATATATATATATATATATATATAGTATGTGTACATATACACACACAAACTAGAATGAAAAGCAACATTATTACATTTTATTTAGTTTCTTTGCATTGTTATATTGCTAAACATAATATCTTCTGAAATCAGTGGTTCTGAAGTTAAATAGTAGGTTAAATGTTTTCATTTTTTTTAAATTCTATGGTATTAATGTTAATATTCTTTATGACAAATATATTATTTTCCTAATCTTTTCCCTGTGGATCATAAGGACTGCATGGTGATAATGAATTTTACAAGTTTTAAGGACATTTGTTTTATTTGAAATATTTTTTTTACCTCAAAGAGAAATATAAAACACCTGAACATCTGAGATGAAACCTTAAAATGCTTGGCTATAAGATTGTTATTCAAATTTTTTTTTTACTCAGATTCTCCATAGTTTTGAATAAGAATCAGGAAAACCGAAGTAATTTTAAATTTGTAATGTTGAATTAGAGCCAATTATTAATGTGATATCAGTACCTAAATACTATAACTTGAGAAAAATTAAATTTAGAATGAAAGTCCTGATTTTTAGCAATTTCAGTCAATGTTAAACATTTGCACATTCACCATTAGGACTTGCTGTTGCTTGACTCTTTTCTTACTAATTATTTAACATTTGCATCAAAATTTCTCTTAGGCTACTTTTATCAATGGTATTTGTTGCTTCTACTATGCTGACTTCCTGCCTCATGCTCTTAAAATGTTTATATCTGATATAAGATTTTATGTAATATACATTTTGAACATGAGTGTAAATTGACTTCTAGGGAATAATATTTGCAAATATTTAAGGGGGAATAAACAAAACTAAATATTATTATACTCTTACATACTTTGGGATGCTTTATATAGAACGTTTGTTAGTAAGACAGTTTAGCAATTAATCTTTATAGGGTAGTACAGGGAGCTATGTTTAGTAAATATCTAATATTCCTATATACTCAATTTTTTTTGTGGCAAAACTACTTTCCTGAAGATGCTGGTTCTTCAAGTATATCTTTTACATTAATGTGGTTGATTTAAGCTTCAATATCAGAGCAGATATAGATCCTTTTCTAAACAAGTCTTTCATCCCTAAGTGAAAATTCTTATGTACAAGGAGATCTCAATCCTCTCACATGCTTGTTATTCAGCATTTATTTTGACTGT